AACCCTAACCCCGCCCTTTCCTACACCACGGCAGCCCCAACACCAACGCCAACAGCACAAGACGGCAGGTTGCGCACGCCGCGCCACCATGTACATACGCTATGTTGCTCTTTACGTCTCTTACAGCCCCACACACTCAGCAGCAGAGAGCCCTCTATAGCACGCCCACCCCACAGCACACCCGTCCAGCCATACACAACACGCAGCCACTCACCGTCAGGCCACACACACGCACCAGACGGAGCAGTGTCAGCGTCCCCCGCACGGTGCAAAACTGCAGATTCCCCAGCTTGGGCCGCACTCACAGCACTCCCAGAGCGGCTACCCCTAAGCCGTGGGAATCGCCATCGTCACACGTCTCCAGAAAGGTAACCGCCCACAGATGGACCATTACCCCCCTGTACACGTTGCTCGCCTGCCGGTTGGCTCAGTAAAGTGTCCGGCTCTCATGCCGTGCAGAGGGCCGTGTTGTGTTCGGCGTGGCCAGGCCCTCGAGTCGACCACCACCACATCTGGCACAGACATCGCAGCAACTGTCGCAGCCCTCGCCGTGTCATGCCTCTCTTTCGCGCTGGTGCTCTTTTCACCTCCGCTATCGTGGTGGCGGCCGCCTGTCCCTCAAGAAACTCCCGGCAAGAGTCAGCTCCCTTTCGTACCCCTTCTTCGCCCCTGCTCGTCTCCATTGCCTGTTGCCGTGCGAGCGTTGAGGAAGCGGAGGGCTCATCACGTTAGAGCTGGCGTGGTGTGCCGACGGTTGAGCACGTGACGTTGCAACACTCCGCCGTTCAGCAGGAAGCCGCCGTTGCTGCTGCAGTTGCATCTTCTTGGTGGGCAGCTGCCGCACGTTCTTTGGCCCCTCGCCCCCGTGGAATGGTGCCGCGGCGGTAGAGAGCGTCGCGTCCGGCACCTGAAGAGCCCGCCACACACCACCACGGCCACGCCCTCTGCCTCTTCCACAGCGCCGGTGCAATCACCTCGACGAAGGGATTCTTGGGCGAGATGCGGTGGTTCATCAGCACCCTGCACATCCTCTTGAGGGAATAGTGCTGTGGCGGTTTGTGCTGCTTCGCGATGAGCAGCAGGAGGCGCAGACACGCAGGCAAGTCGTGGCGGGCGTCTAGAAGAACGTTCAAAACGTGCCCGAAACAGTTTGCAGGCATACAGAGGCCGCTGTCGCTGCTGTCGCGCTCCTGACGTGGACGGTGCGCGATCACGGGACACAGCCCCGGTAGCAAGCCTGTAGAAGCAGAACGCAGTTGTTTCTCCACCACTGGCGATGGTGCCGAGGCGTGCGTGGTCAGCGCCACTACCGGCTCCTTGTTGTTTCCAAACTGCTCTGACAGCACGCCGGCGATCCCCATGCTTCACGACAAAGATTGGCAGATAGAGGACACCTTGACGGTGCACCTGCTCTGCGGGAACCACTTGGCGTTCTCGGCTGTCAGGGACACCGTCGTGTCTGTTTTAATTTCTCTTGCTTTCGCCCCTTGTCATTACATTCCTCTCTCTCTTCCGTTTTTCAGTCGCATCTTCTTTCCTTTTACAGTTTCATTAACTTCGCTTTTCTGTTGTTTGATCTCGTCCCTCTTTTTCTGCTGCTTCCCTCCTTCTTTGATCACAAATGCCTGCCGTCAATTATCGTCACCTCCTTCTCTCTCCGTCAAGTACCTCACTTCCGATGTTTATTTCGTTTTTGTTTTGCGTGCGCTACGGGTGGAGGATAAAGGGGCAAGAAGAAACGCGCTTTACCCGCCGGTCGTGTGCCGTCTCACGTCGTTCACGCCGGCGGTCCTGCAGCATAACATTCGCTTCACTTCACTTTTTTTCTTGTATGGCTGTTAAGCCTCGAACCCCACAGTCAGCACTTCTCTGCGTTCCAACCCTACGGCGGCGGGCTGCCTCAAGAACGGCAGGTTTGAGCTCACAATGGACTTCCTGAGTACCACGTTCCTTGCACTGTCCCCAAAGTGCCGCGAGAAGGTATCCGCTGGATTAAGTAGCCTGTTGCTGTAAAAGAAGAGAACGGTAACTCCTTCTTCGTGCAAGAGCTCATTAGTTTGGGCGTAGAGTTTGTTCAGAGCAAAACCGCTGCCGATGCCTCCGAATCCGTTCAGGCGCTGTGGTCTGTCACCACTGCGACCCGCGTGCCCCGCGTTATGCCATCCCTCCGTAACTCCATCAGAATGCATCCAACCGCCTTCGGTTCGCTGTGCGTCGAATGGCTTACCGCAAAGTGCGTCGTTCCGCCCGACGCAGGCAGCTCTGTTCCGTCAACCGGCGCTCTGTCGGACACCCATCTGTGCTGCATCATCTCCGTAGTTCCATCGTTCCACGACAAGATCGCTCCGGACGTCCCACCAGCGGTTCTCCAGCAGCTGCCGACCCAGTGTCTCCAAGGCCTTTGTTGCATTTTCCAATACGAACGGCAGCGGGTCGTCCCAATGCCGTCGTCGGTCGATCTGTGCAAAGATGCCGCCGTATGCCGCCATCAGGTGGCACGTATCGGCGGGGTTGAGGCGTGTCGTGTGCATCATGTACATCAGCAGAGCGATGAGGCTAACAAACTGCCTATTTGTGTACTCGTTTTTTGGTAGGCCTAGTTTGAGTTTCGCCACCGCTTTGATCGAGTTCCGTACTCGCCGCCGGTTAGTGCTCCATTCGTATCCTTCGCCCAAAAAAGGTGGTGGGACCGCTCGCCTGCCGGAGCAGCTCCTCGTCAGGCACGGCTGTGATATCGCTTGTAGTGGGGGTTGTCCGCAGGTTCGCCGTCACAATTCTCGCAACAATACGGAGCACCGCCGAGCAGAAAGCTTCCTCTTTGCCTTCTTTTGCCGCTATCAGTATACTATCGATCATGGTATGAATCGGTACCGTTGTGTCGCTGTCCACGATTTTTGATGTGATGGCCTGGCCTACAGCTACGCTCCATCGCGCGCCCGTCAGCTGCGTGCAGCAGCGAAAGAATTGTTGCCGTGTCCGGAACACGAAATTGCTTCTCACGGACTCTGGCAACGGAATGGCGTCGTAGAACGCGTCAAAACCTACCTGTGGCATGTACCTCGCGGCCGCCAAATCTTGCCGAACGCTGAGTCGTGAGGGGCGAACAGTCTTTGGGACAGCTTCCTTACGGGTGGGCCCGTTCAAGGCCGGCTGCGTAATCCGTCTCCGTCTGCCTGTGTGTTCCGGTACCCAAAAAATACCGTGACCGAATGCGTATCCCGTACCAGCGACTGGTGAAAACCGATGGGGCACATCTCAAACTTTCCCTTCTCCACTGCTGACGTCAGGTCACCCGGTTCAAGTCGCGTCGATGTAATTGTACGAGACGTGTGAAAGAGTTTGAGCATTTGAGGTTCCAAGTATCGCAGAGCGCGAAGAAGATCGGTATGCGCAACTAGCCGAGCAGAAAGCATGTTCTTGATCGCATCGATGTCGGCCAGGGTGACGCTCTTGAGGTGGAGGGGCCACTGCGATGGGTTACCTCGTGCCAGGCCGGGCACCAGGCCCTGTAACCTCCGGACCTCATTGTGGAGCGCCGTGACGGACAATCCTATCTCGTGCCACATTGGTCGTTTGTGGCCAACGGCGTTGGGTCGTGGAGGAGGGTTGAGGCGCTGTCCTGCGCTGGAATGGCCTCCCGTGTAGGTTGCTGGGAATAGTTGAGGTATCGCCGCAGGGTTGTGAGTGACGTGTGTCCCGTCAACCTCATGATCTCCGCTTCCGGTGCCCCCGCCCGAGCGAGGTGGTGCACTGCTCCCTTCCGAATCGAGGCGAGCTCGAGGGCGGGATTCACCCTCTTCAGCGCCGCTCTGGCCTTCTTCTTGGCTGCTGCGGGAGGCCTGAAGAGCGACTGCTCGCTCGTCCGCTGCGCCATTTGGTGCGCCACGCACGAACCGTCCTGCCGACTCAGATGCGACGCTACTGGGTAGGGCCCGCGAAAGTGTGTTGCCTTGCCTCTCCTGTGCGTGAGGCCCACTGGGTACGACACCGCCGTGGGGGTCTGCAACGTCACGTCCGTTGGCCTCAGCCCTCCAATGACTCCCGGTCGTGCTGCGAAGCTCCACATCATTTGCAAGAACAGTCGGGCCTCCGGGTCGTCCTGTAGGTGCCGCGCGGCGTCGTCGATCTGTGTTTTGACCACGTGTGGCGGTGGGTTGGGGACTTCGCTGCTTATGATTTGATGCCACCGCCCGTACGCCGACGTCCACTCCGGGGACTCCTTCAGGCTGATCGGGTGCGGCTGGTCCGTGTAGAGCGGCGGGTGCATCAGCGCTCCGTGTGTCGTTGCGAACTTCGACACGATCGTGGACGCCTTCCACTTCCTCATCTTGGCCGCTCTGTGGATTAGCCTGGTCGCTGCGGCTGCCAGGTCGAGTGCGAGTAGGTCGTGCGGCGTGTTCACCAGGTCTTCGATCGCGAGCCGATGCTGCTTGCGCGTGTGAGGCGAGAGCTTCTCCCATGCCGCTTGCGAGACCTTTGCTGGCTTCTGGCTGTAAACATGCCAGTGACGCGAGCAGACGTACCCACGTGGACGGCTGCCCCGCCCGTTCAAACCCGGGCTTTCTTTGTTTTTGAGCCGCTCCCTGTCCGGAGCCTGAGGCTCCTCTCTTGCCGGGACTGCGGTTGGCATTTAGAGACCGTAGAGCGCCTCTTCTGGCTGGATGGTCAGCACGGACACCGTGACCGTTTCGGGTTCCGGTGCGCGGGGCGTGCTCGATGACGATCCGGCTCTGGAGCTTCTCCGCCGTCTTGCCTGTGTATTGGGGCGATCTCGTGTCGTAATGCCTAGGATGAACTTGGCGCCTCTCAGTTGCCTCGGTAGGCTGGCGTCATCCGACCTTAGCAAGATGTACGATTCATCCTGTGGACGTGCTGCTGCGTCTTCTTCAGCGACTTCCCCTCAGTAGGAGTAGAGTGGTGTGGGCAGCCGATTCAGAATTACTTGTGGATCATCGCTCTGGATTTGCATGCGCATCTTCCGCATACTAAGTGCGCCGACCGTGAAGGAGATGTGCACACCCGTTTGCCGTCTATGGAGCGCCACGACGGTCATAAAGCTGGTGAGACGTCTGCCGATCAGTGGTTCAAGGCAGTGTTCCGCCTCGTCCAAGATCTCTTTGGTGCGCTCATCCGGTACGTCCTCGTCTTCTGCGCTGCCCCGTCGATCCGCCACCAGATCCCCTAGGAGAATATCATCCTCGTTGGAGTCCGAGGCACCGCCCTTAAGTACGCGGTTATTTGCGGGTCCTTTTTTTCTTCATCGTGCCGCTGAAGAGTGTGCGTAGTTCGTGCAGGAAAGTCGTCTTGTCTGGCCTCTTTTGCAAATCTTCTTTGATATGTTCCTTTGGGTTCTTTGGCACCTGTGTGTGGCATAGATATTCGAAAATCATCGAAAATTATGTGTGGGGGGTATTATTTGGATACCTTGGAACTCCAAGACGTTAGCAACAATTTTCAATACGACGCATGTGCAAGAGAAGGAGAAGGGGTAAACAAAGAAGAGCATAACGGTACCGAGCTTCTTTCGTTTCAAGCAGATGTGTTCCCCCGAACACTCTATGTTCCCACTTATTAAAAACAAAATAAGATATAACTCGATAACAGAACGCCTTACTGTCCTCACAAGCAAACTCTGTTTCTGTGGGGTACTCCGAGGCGGAGCTAAACTTTTACGTAGAACCGATGATCCCCGATGTGATTACCGTGTCATCCTAATCTCTCTTCCAGACGCTGTGGCGAGGGGCTAACGGAGTGCGCCTCCTTCACTCCTACGACAAGCTGATACCAGAAGGTGCGCTATGTGCGCGAGTTTCGTTTTCGATACCGTTCCCATGAGCACATGCAGCTGGTTCTGTGTTGGCACGTTTTGTTGTGAGTGAAGTGCCCCTTTTGTCGAGAAGAGGGAAGGAGAGTTGAGGTGAGACACAGTTTGAATGTGAGAGAAGTACATCAGGGCTTTGTCACGTTGCGTAGTTCCTGGAATTCGTTGCGGCAACTACTGCGCGCGGCGGCATGAAAGGAAGATCATCGCGTTAGGAACGCAAAGCAGTGCAGCTGAGCGTCATTTTGAAGATCCGTTGACAGTTCGTGGAATGTCCGCGCGCACGTATTGTTTTTGTTTCACAAAGAGGACTTCTATTTGTGAATCAGCTACGAGTTCTGAATACTAGAGGGAAAAGAAGAACGTACTACTACTTCGAAATGGAGATCCCTGACAGGCTTTTGCTCATATTTGCAGCGAACGCGGCGCAGTTGATACAGGGGGGATGAGAAAAAAAAGGTAGGAAGCTAATACTTAAAGATGACGGACTCAAGCGGTTTTCCGCTGGCCTTTGTCGACACTACCTCCTCGCGATACGTGTCCAGGTCCTTGCGCTCCAGGGTGCGGTTGGCGCTCGGGTTCTTGAAGTCGAACTCGTTGGCAATAATCGCCGGAGGGCAGTTCATCAGATGGCACAGATGCGTCTGATAGGAGTTGTTCCGGTTCAATACATAGACGCGGTACGCCGAGAACGCCATGACGCACACTAGCAAAGCATCGCCGACCACCATATACTGGCGCGTCTCGTCAGCGATGCTTTCACGCCGGCTCAGGCGGTGGTACCAGTCTTTCTTGAGCGGGAGCTTTGCAGGCCACGGCCAGTTCCCGTAGGTGGGACTGCCAGACAAGCGAGCTACGGTGGAGCGGAACATAATCTTTGGCGTAACACACAATCTGTCTTTTGTGGTTGAACACGCGTTGTTCAAACGTGCGTATGAGAAAAAAGTTCTTAGTGCGATAGAGACAGAGAGCACAGAAGAGAACGAGAGCGAAGCCGGAAGAGAGTAGAAGACGGAAAAGGCAGGGTTGATGTGACACAGACGTTGCGCTATTCCTGGTCAAAAGCACCACATCAAAGTGATGGAAACATCAGGCGCACGGTGCAAATACACCTGTGCTTGCGCGGCAAACACAAGGCCGCACTCCGTAGGATGACTCACAGAATGAACACACCAAAAAAAAACCTGGATCAACGTGCCGTGCGCTCGTGTGCGCATCTGTGAGCATTTGAGAGAGCGTACTTGCGAGCTTGTGCTTGTATCTTCTCATCCGCTTTTTGGCCGCTCGGCTTGATGTACGGGGATTGCGTTTGCGCCCGCGTGTAACAGCTGCGGCAGTGTTAGCGCTATGGCACAAACAAATCATAGCGAGTAACAGAAAAATGGCTGCATCCAAGTTGAAGAACGACAAAGAGAACTGAAATGCGACTGCCGTCGGGAGAGACATATAGCACGGAGAGCCAAGGGCGTCTACGTTTCTTCATTTTTCCACGTGACGGTGCGTCATTCCTCTTTCATTTCTTTCCCTGCCCTCCTCTTTCAACGAAATGTAGCGCTTATATGCGGCGTCCGTTTCTTAGTTAACCTCCTCATCGTTTTAACCCATCCATACAAAAACAAAACGCAACATGTGGCAAGGGAAAAGAAGGTAAGGTACAGGTAGTACGATAAAAAGCCCAACGAGACCACGCACACACTCGCCTCCCTGCTTGCACATACAAAAGTCAGCCAAGCTACCAATAGAACTTTGAAAAGTTAGGCGGTTTTTTCGGCATTTGCTGGAGCTGCAGCAGCGGCAACGGTGTCTTCGTTGTTGGACGCCGCGATGGCAGACGTCGCAGCCGGCTCTCCCTCCCCCGGCTGCCCCGCTTCCGCCTGCGCCTCTTCTGCTTCCTCCGCCTCCTCGTCGTCGCCGCTAGAGAGCACCAACTCGCCCGTCTGAATGTGCTGCTCATACTGCTTCTTCTTCTCCTCGATCTGGTGAACCTTCTCGTCGATGGTGGCGAGCGACAGCGCCGGCTCCACCTCGATCATCTGGAAAAAACGGATCTTGTCCTCCGGGTGCTGCAGCAGGCGATCCTTGGCCTCGGCGGCCGGCTGTGGAGCATCATTGGCGTTTACCTTGACGGCAGACGCCTTTTCCTGCTGCTTCTGCTGCTGCCTCTGCTGCTTCTTGGCGGTCTTGCTCAGCGGCTTGTTGTCGGACCACTTACCTTCGTTCAGCACAACGAAGCCGGCGGGAGCCACCTGCGAGGGGTCGAAATGCGCCGCCGCCTCGCGCTTCTTACGCTCCTCTTCGTCCTGCAGCAACATCACCTTCTTCTGCTTCAGGTAATGGATCAGCGTCCCACACGCGCTAATCTCCATCACGTACGGGTTCTGCCGCTTCACCGCGCGTGCCTGCTTCTTGGCGATCTTGTGTGCGTTGATGCGCTCCTCGTACTCCCTGCGGCGCTGCTCGCGCTGCTCCGCCTGCTTGGCGAAGTATTTGTCGCGAGCCTCCCTGTACCATGTGTCGTACTCCGACATCGCCTTTTGGAACTTCACGCTCATGCTATCGATGGTCTGTGAAATGTCGTTGATCTTGGAGTTAATTTCCATGCGCTGCTTATAAATGTCCGAGCGGCCGGCGTTGCTGTGCTGCGCCTCCTTGTCCAGAGCTCGCTTCTTCTGCATTTCCTCGTCGTACTCCTTGTTGTGGATACCGATCTGCTCGCTAATGGCAAGATACTCCTGCTGGAGAACCGTTTCCTGGTCCGCCACCTCCTTCATCGCCTCCGTCAGCGGCTGCAGCTGCGAGAGTTGCCCCTTGGCTTGCTCCAGTTTGTTGAGGAGCACCTGATTTCTCTTCTCTCCCTGGAGACCGCCGCTGCTGCTCTCCATCTTGCGCATCACGTACTCCTTCGCGTCGTCGATCTCCTTAACGTTCTTGAAGCCGCCCACCTCGGCCTGGACGTTGCGCAGGCTCTCCGCGATCTCGCCACGCTTCTTGCGCAGCTTCGCAATCTCGGCGTCCTGCGCGGCGCGGCGCTCTCGCAACACGTGGCGCTTCGCGTCTATATCGCTCAGTCGCTGGCGGCACGCATTGCGCTCCTCATCGCGTGCCACGGTGGCGGGGTCCTTCTGCATGGAGCTCTGCAGCTCCTTCACCTCGGCGATCAGCGCGCGGCGCTGCGCCACGAGCTCTGACACTTTTGCCTTGTGCTCGGCCACGTTCGGCTTCTGCGGTGCGTCGGGCGAGTTGAGCCACGCAGCCTTGTTCGGCTGCTTGCGAGGAGCGGGAGTCTCTTCGTGTACGGACATCGTACTGTGAGGGAACGCTCTACAATGATAATAAATACTCTTAGCTGAATTCAGATTTTTATTACTGCTTGGTTGGGAAGCCAACGAATAGGAGTGAGAGATGGAAAAAGCGAAGGAAAGGGGTGTGCAAAGGAGTCCACGAGAACACTAAACCGTCGAGGAGGGAAACGAGGAGGAAGCAAGGCCGCAATGATTCGGTAGGCGCCAAGCCACGAAAGAGAGGGGAGAGAGAGAGAGAAGCCGCTGCAGATGATCGCAAAGCAACGCACTGAGCGATGAACCTTGCTGCTCCGGCTCTGCGTGTCTCACGACACACGTTCGTGTGAGAGGAACGCTGCGTAACGCCGTCTGTTTTCTTTTTTTTTCTGTGCTTTTAGTCTTATTTGTCGTGCATGAAATCCAACGTTTATTTATGTGCATGACGAGAGATGGAAAAGCAACTTAAAGGGGTCCGTAAAACAAGATAGAAAGGCATGAAAGAAGCTACCCGTTCGTCGACGTTCTCCTTTCAGACGAATATATATATAGACAGAAAGATAAATGTATATACAATGAACGGCACAGCAAAACTATCAAGTGTCTTCCTCGATCGTTAAACGCTGCAGATGTGGAAGGTAGCACTTGAACAAAAAAAAAAGAAGAAGAGAGCATCCTATACGACACGAGCCGCTAGCATTTGAAGCTTCGGATGCGACAAGGTAGTCTTTTGCACAGCAAGATGAAACAAAGACCCCACGCAATTTTGTGCACCAGCAGAGGGCTGTCTTGATCCGTCGCAGAACCAAAAAAAAAGACAAGTTCAGAAAGCTGAAAGAGAAGACGTAAAAGGATGCCCGAACCGTTTTTTAACTGGAGGAAAAAGGAAGCACGAGGTGGGGGGAAAAAAATGAGGAAAATGACGTACCGAAGGGGAAAAAAGGACCAGGAAGACACTCATAATCAGGAGGGCAAACCTGCATAAAAGTGAGAAACTTTAGCCTTCACACCGTACTCTCCACTTGCCACGTAACGAAGAGTGGCCTGTTTGAAAATAAAAGGCTGTGCAGCTGGAGAAGACGCCTGTGAAAAGAAAAGGACCAACTCGTTGTTCGACTGTACTGTGTTGGGTACTGTGTAGAGACAAGTGAGAGTAAGAGAGCAGGTAAAGAAAGGAAAAGCACGTTATGCTGTGCGAAAATGCCTCAGTTATTTCAGCGTGTATTATTTCGTTTTTTGAGTAGGCGAGTAGACGTAATATCCCTCTTATGAATTATTATCTACGTGGATACCACTTGAAGCAGGTCTTCTCCGCCCCAAGTTAGCCCCATCCGTTTTAGAGCTCAGGCACCAGACCTTTATCTTACTTTTTGTGCTCTTTTGGGGCAGGAGAAGAAACTGGAAAGCAGATCTTTATCGCATTGCTGGAACGCTTCATTTTCACAAGAAGAGGGAGTAACGGCACTGACTTAACGAAGATAGTAGAATGCAGCATGCAAGTGATACACTCATTACAGGAAAAAAAAAATGGTTAAGATCGATGAACTTCAAAGAGGAGAAAGCCGGTTATCTCAAAAGACGGCAGCGTTGCGGTGATAAAATTGATTGGAACTCATTTAAGATACGTTTTATTTTCTCCCTTTCATCCCGCCAATGTTGCCGTCATCCACGTCAAAGTGCACTGCGATACAAAAGACATATTGGGGTGGCTAGTGGTGATGGATGTAAGTAAATAAAAAAGATTTTGAAGTCATGACTTGCACTCAATCCTTGCAAGGATTCTTTCATGATGTTGTTTTTTGGATGCGGCAAGGGAAACGGTGTCGTGCGGGATTCGAGAAGCGTACGAAACGGACAACTGCATATTTTCACAGTGTATAGGTTGTGAACACCTTGGTCGAGCGTAGGTTATGGGACTAGCGCAGAAAGAGTATTCACAATTTGTTGTTGTTGGACTCAACAGCAGACACTGGAGCGTGAAAACGTCATGAGACTTGCAAAACCAAACAGAGAGGAAGAAAGAAAAAAAAAAGTGAGAATGGAGCGGGGTAAAAACACGAAAAGAGGTCAAAACGAAGAAGAAGAAAAAAGGATATTAAAAGAGGCATCCACGGGAGGGCGCGTGAATGCACGACATCGAAGCTGCAACACACATCTAGAGAACAAAATGTTCTCGCGTGCACCAGAGAGAGAAACTATTCTTTTTGTAACAATAATAGAAAACAATAGAAAATACTGTGGAGGCCTTGAGAGAGGATACCTGGTTCTGTCGAATAAAAAAAGAAAGACAAGAGAAAAAATAAAAACGAAGGTCATTAAAACGAAAGGAAAGCAAGACGTATTGAAGAGTGCACAGAAATTTCCAACAGCGACGGACATGTCTCTAGTGCACACACACTTTAGATAAATCAAGAATAAAAGGGAAAGGAAAAGGAAGACGAAGAACATAGATCGGAGCGATGAACCGCGAGAAACAATATAAAAAAAAAAACAGAATCGAAACGTGAAAATAGATGTCTTCTTCATCCTACGATCTGTATAGAAAAATAAAGCTGTCTCCTGTCACAACCGTCGTTTTGCGGCACAACAAGAACTCAACCCAGTTCCTGCTACACACTGTTGTCCATTACCCACAATTTTTTTTCTTCTTATGACGACAGTGCATACTGGCAATCGAACTCCGTACTCTCTCGCTCGCCCACGCCACCAAGGGCTTCTCCGCATGGACAAAAAGCGAAGAGGCACGGGAGAAGGTCACAACGCAGGACCGCTTAATCCCGACGAATGGATTGAGTCAGCTCCGAGATTTAAGATAAAAAAATAGAGTCAACGAAACAGAATCGGTTGCCGATAGGCAAGTGATCATTAGAGTAAAAAAGAAAGTAAACAAAAAACGAGATATAAAAATAATAAAACCGGTTCTTCAGGTACATAAATGTACGTCTGATGCCACCGCAGAAAAAGAAGGCATGTGCAAATAAATAGAGAACAGGGAAAGAGAGGAGAAACGTGGAAAGAACTAAATTTGAGCACAACGGAGAGAGGAAGAAAAGACAAGGGGGAAAGAGAGACAAAAAAAAGAAGTTCCCTGGGGAGATCGATTTAAAGTGTAGGAAAAAGTTTTCGACTGCTAATGGAAATAGTTAACAACGGAAACGAAACGCTGTTAGTCCAGACAAAGTGTTGGGGAATAAAAAGAGGAAGCGTACAGGCTAGAAAAGCAGAGCAAGTACCCCTTTTTGAAACAGAGGCAAACACATCGCTTTGCTACGGAGCCTTCTTTCGCCGTTCAGTTACGAATCTGCTGCACTCCTTCGGTGTTAAACGGCGAGAATTGTGGCTGCGTGATAAGCCGGAACACGTTGTCGTTGCCCTCGCTCACAAAGAAGCAGGGCGCGCCTTGGAGAGCGGTCATGTCTAACGGAAATGCCGCCATGGCAGGAGGCCGCGGGCCCGGTGCGGCGCACTCCGGCGCAAACGAGTACGGAGGCAACGGCGACGACATCATAAACGGCGGGCCCTGCGGCGGCGGCATCGGCGGCGGTGGCGGCGGCAGCAGTGGCGGTGCGGCGCCGAGCGTTGACATATGGAAGCTCGCCGCGGTCCGGCTTGGCGGCGCCTCGCTTCCCGTGACTGCCCACGACTCCTTCTTGCCCATCTCTGCCAGGGCTGTCTTGACGACGCGGTCCTTCGTGAGCGCCTTCGCCACGTGGCCATGTAGATTAGGGCAGGAGACACCCCGCGAGCATCGTCCGGTGAGGGCGAAGTCCCAGCAGAGGTTCGAGGAGGAGAAAAAGTTGTCGGTGGTGACGTTGGCCGCGTTGGCAGAGATCTTCCGCTGGGTGCCAGCATCACTTACCAGCCAGTGGCGGTACTCCACCTCGTATTCCATGCTGCCCGCTGTCACCTCGATGTCGTCTGTGCGAAACTCGAGATACTGCAGAGCAATCCGACGCCGCGCGAGCAGCGAGAGCACCTGCGCAAACTTCTCCGTCACGTTTGCCTTCATCGTACGGCAGAAGTAATGTCGCTGTGGGTTGACGTAGTACTTGCGGAGATTGTCCAGAATCTCGCGCTTGACGTGGATCTGATGACACGTCTTGGAGTCCTTCTCGCGGATCTTACCAAAGCATTTACCAAAACTGTGCATGAAGCAAATATCCAGCGAGGCGTTGTTACGGTCGCTCAGCCACCCAGCAGTCGGCTCAATATCGTCGAAGGAGATTTTGAAGGTGTCCGCAGCCACCGTGGACGGCAAGCGCTGCATTATCAGAAACTCGGAGGGAGCAGGAATAATTTGTATAATGGTTGGCGGGTCCGTCATGAGATCACGCGTGAAATAACTCTGCCCTAGCCCAGCGCTGCTTGCGGGCCCAGCAGACTTGGAAAACGCGTTCTCTTGCATGTTGTTACTGATGGTGGAAGTATAAAGCAGCCAGAACAAAAGGTATTGCCTTTCGTATGCGCTGCGATCCCGGACAAAGAGGAAACGCCTAGGGTGCACTCTCTCCCTTCCCGGCCGGAACGAGGAGTGCAAGTGAGGGAAAAAAGACGCTGAGTAAACCAACAACAAAAAAGAAGGAAAGAAAGAAAGCGAAAAGGAAAGCTGAGAAAAAGGTGAAGCCTTTGCTGGTCCTGGAAGAGTCAAAATGGGAAGCCAAACGTTTGACTCGCGTACTTTTGTGGTTTCTCGCTTATCTCTGTCGCAGCCGGAAGAGGAGAGGTAAACAAAGTGTTAATCGCAAGGAAACAAGAAAAACAACAGAGTACAAAGAGAAGAAGAGAGAAAGTTGCAAAAGACACACACACACACACACACACATATATATATATATATATGTTATCTTTGGTGGGACCAAATCAAAAAAAGGAGAAGTCAAGTAGATTCAGCGTGCAACTGTATCAGTAAAAACAAAGAAAGGGAAGATGTAATAGCTGATAGTGTGGAAGGAAAAAAAAGTTCACTGTGTAGATGAAAGTCAAATTTGCCTTGGGAAGCACTAAACTGTTACTACTGTAGAGAGAAAATGTTGCAGCATTTAGATGTGAGAAAGCAAAAAAGGTAAAGGAGTGGTAGGAGGGCACGTCGGGCGGGAAGAGGAGAGGTAGTGTTTGATAGGACGCATGCGTCATGGGAAAATGGGCGTGCACGTTGGCAACAACGGCAAAAAAAAGGTGGTTGGCGCAGGAGCATACGAAGATGAGCACAGTGTACTGACGATTTGAAAAGGCTGTTGTGAAAAGCCCTTTAACATAGCTGTGAGACAAAGCTCTCTCGTTCCTCTTCAGTCGCACTGCTTGCTACGTACGCGGCCACGAAGAGGTGCAATTTACGGATATCGACGAAAAACCTACGAACTCGCGTCCGCCGCGCACGCTGCACTTACAACATATGCGATGCAATCCATTTGCAACTCTCGTTTGTTTTTGGCTCTTCGAACCCTTCTCGCGACATAGCGAGGATCGAACTGAAAGAGAAATGATAACCAACAAAACAGACCCATGAGAAGGGCTTCAAAGCAAAATGCAAAAGACGAAAAAGCCGCTTTCTAAAACGTATAAGGAAAGAAGCTGGAAGGTGAAGGAAAAAAAAATTACGCAAAGGCCGAAATACTTTCCAAGGAGCTACTGAAACACCTAAGCTTTGTTCGAAAGACTTTAGAAGTTGTATGTATCTTTCCACGTGCTCCTTTTCAGTCCAATAGTACTCCTTCTCTTTCTTTTTTTTTTACCAGATACCTAAATACAATGACGCTAGTAGAGTGCGTCGCAATGCTGAAAGGGCGTTAGTTGGCCAACGAAGCGCTGTGTATGAAAAGAGATTCGCAAGATGAAAAAAAAAAGACACAATTGAGAAGAAAAAGGAGAAACAAAGACGATTAAATGTTATTGTTACTTTTCTCTTTGGTAGAATCACTGAAGAAAACATAAAAGAAACTAATACGCGGAACCCACTTCGATCGCTTTTCTCAGTTACGCGGATAACAATTATATAATAAACTTTAATCTCAGCTGTTGTAACTTCTTAGACACGTCGCAGAAGTACTTCCCAGAACAAAAAAGAGAAGAGGAAGGAGAACAGTGGAGAGATAAAAAGAAGAACTTCCTTCGATGTACAAGAGATACAGCCGACGGGAGATGTCTTTTTAAAGTGAATGACGGAGCGATGAAATGACGACGCAGAAAGAAAGAAAGAATTTCCCTGTTTTTGTCGGCCGTCTTCCTGCTCTTTTCGTATGGTGACTAACTCCCTTCAACCATCAGCGGATAGCAACACGATTGGATGTCAACAAAATCCTGCCTTTTTACGGCGCTCGCAACCAATAACTGAGAGGACGACAACATTAATAAAAAGGCGTCAAAGACAAGATAAAAAGGCATTCATGCGTCCGAAAATTAATAGAAAGGAGTTTTGGAAATAAACATCAAAAAGAAGTTCGTCCGAAATAGGAATGCGTGAATGAGGTGTCCCATTGCATTGTCTTCTTGACTTTTTCTTCACCCCGAGAGTACTTTTCAGGAGCATCAAAGCAGAGAACTTATGATTTGGTAGTTTCTGCTTCGAGAACTCGTCTGCAAGATCTTGTCACGAAATGACATGCCAGCATTTCGAAGTCTCACCATCATGAATAAAAACGTTTTGTTCTGCATTGCAGTGGGCCTAACGTGTTGGCCACTGGAAAAAAAGGATTTGCAAAGAAAAAAAAAACTCGGCGCGATGGGGCGACACACACCTACCGTGAATACTAAAGAAAAGTGAGGATAACGATGTCCGCGAAAAGGACTGTGATGGACAAAGGAAGAACAGTAGAAACAAAAGCAAGACCAAATCGGAGTCTAAATAACAACAATAATAATGTGTTTGCAAGAAAGGGAGAGAAGAGGAGCGCTACTGGCGAAACGAAAGAAAGGAATTGGAAAAAGACAAAAGAAAAGACAGTTAATTAATGTGTCGCATGATTACGCGTAAGCATATAAACACGTACTCAAAAGGAGCGTCACTTCGAGAGTATGCAATACAGGAAAACACACATACGAAACTTAAGATCGATCTGGAGAGCTGATATAGTTGTTCGGCGGTAAGTCTTTGGCGCCCTACTCACGCAAATACATCGTGTACTTGGAACGAGCGCAGTAAGCCAACAGAAGAATGGAAAGAGATATTGAGAGGTGGGAAAAAAGGTGGAAGCAGAGTAACTAAAGAAAAATATATATATGAACAACGCGAAACGGAAATAAAACTAGAAGACATTGCTGCTGTGTCTAATCGCTTCTGCTACCACTGCTGTCGGTGTTGTGGTTGCTACTGCTGATACCTTCGTTGCTGCAACTCACCCAACCGCCGTCGGCTTTGCCGTTGAGGGGAGCCTTCACGTTCTTTGCGGCGTTGAACTCCACCTCCGCCGCCGAGACACCCGGCACGGCCTCCTCAAGAGTGACGAACGCAGTGCGCTTGGACAGATGTGGCCTTTTCGGCTTCACGTCCACGGTCTGCGTGGAGGCTTCCAGTTGCTAGACGTGTAGCGGAACCAGACGGCCACCAGCCTCGCCGTCGGCCTGTATAACGGTGAAGATGGGTACCTTGGCAAAGCTTTGGATCTGGTCCCTCACGGCAGAATGGGGGAGTGGGCCCACACCGTCCTGGATCGTGTTTTCCGTCGAGGAGGCGCTTTGGGCGCTGCTCATCGGTAACGACCGCAGCACACAAAGAGGGACAGACGACGGGGACTGGGTGAGGTCGCTCACGTCGCGTAAGGCACGCGCCAGCACGGGGTCGCGCACCTGCGCCTTCCGCATGTCAGCATGGACGTAAGGGCAGTCCGTGCTGCAGTTGCACGATCCCGTCATGGCAAAGCTGGGGCATTGCAGGACGGTAGCGGTGCTGGCGTGGTCGATGTTCGTGTCGTCGCAGAATAGCCAGCGCCGGTACGCGGCCTCGTACTGCAGGAGTCCGGTGGAGGGAAGTACGTCGCTGACACGGTACTCGAGGTACTGCACTTTGAGCTCTTTGTGCACCCGCATGCAGAGCAGCTGTCGCAGCTCCGGACACAGCAGTGCCTTCACCGTGCGGGTAAAGAAGCGGCGCGTCGGGTTCGTATAGTGCTTGCGCAGTGCATTAAGGACGTTCGCCTTGATGTGGATCTGAAAGCACGTCGCCGGGTTCGAGTTGGCGCGGCCCACGCACTTGCTGAAGCTGTGCATGAAGCAGACCGTCAGTAGTGGCTTACCTTCGCGGTTCAACCAACCTTTCGTCGGCTCCACGCAATCCTCGGTGACGGCAAACACAGCCTCGTTCTTGTTTGGCATCTCCGGCGGCTGACTCCCGCACGGCACAATGACGATCGTGGTGGGCGGCTCCGTAGCGACGTCGCGCGTGATGTACGGGACAGAAGAGAAGGACATTGTCTCGTACGTTTTGTTTTTACTCTTGCAGACAATTATGCACTGTTTTGTGCAGGCCAGTTTTGGACGAAGCGCAGGAGGAGAGAAAAGCTATTCCAAAAGGAACACGTGCGGTGGTGTACAAGTGGAGAAAGGAAAAGATACACGCCGAGAAGAGGGTTTTAATGTAAAACTACGAGCGCACCAATTACTCCTGGTTGATAGAGAAGGTGGGCGATTTACAGCAATAAATACCTCAAGACGCAGAAGAGCAAAGTTGAACTCTGGAGGTTCTACATTGGAGTCCTGCGAAGACGAAAGTAATAAAACAAAAGGCCGATAGCTTGTAGAAACAGTAAGAGAAAACTATTCGGTATGGGAGGCAAGACAGTTGAGAAACTCAAAAGCAGCAATTAATGACTGCTTTATGCGCTTCGCTTTTCTTTTCTTTCAGACCTGCCAAGCAACGGTGGTGTGACGAGAAGAAAAAAAAAGGTCTAGTCTTGAGAGTTCGAGAGAGCACCTTGAGACTCCTGTATTACCTGTTAAGACTGTGGGTTCTTTTGCTTTGCTATTCATCAAGAAACAAACGAAGGTTCAGACAGGAGAGAAAGGGAGGGAAACAAAGAAAGACTGATGGAAAAAAAAAAGGCGCTAAGCCGGCGCGCATGTGGCGAGGAGCAACGAATGGTTGCCAACTTGAAGGAAGAACAGCACTTAATGGGGTCTGCTTGCACGTTATCTGTGATGCCTTCGCAAAAGAAAGAGAAGTGATGCGAAAGAAACCTTTTTCCCCGATTGGACTGCTTTGCATCCCAAGGCTTTCTTTTCTTTTGCACTCACCGGTGGGTTGACATGTCTTCACCGAAAGATTCGTGGTGGCTTGAACTCCGCCCTCCTTCACAGCCACCGAGACCTTGTGGAGTAAATCAAACCCCGGTTCGTCTCGACTCTCCCCTCTTTTTTTTGCTTTACGTCTTCGTCTCTTCTTCGTACACGGAACGCACACATTATTTCTAGCTTTTAGAACCCGATGAGCACAGCGCGGTTCTTCAGTTCAATGACAACAACACAACGGAAACGATCGCAAAGGAGTACGATGCACACAACATCCTCCCCACCTTGCCGGTCCAACCTCGTGCCTCCCGCACGCCCTTCTCATTCATGAGCGTCGACAGATTTTAAGACGAACAGAGAGGAAAGGAATAAACAACCCAGACGGCAGCTAAAGAGGGAATTGCCAACAGCGATGAACTCTAAACACACAACCACACACAAGCGCGCGCACTACCATCACAAACATAACGAATGATCATAATAAGACAACAATCACAAATGGGAAACAGCTTACTTCTGGAAATCCTTTAAGGGAAGCTTAATCCACGGCTCCGTGAAGTCGGCGCCTTCGCGCAAGACAAACACCTCGGATTGGGCGTTCGTTACCACGAGCATCTCCCCTGAGGGTGCCCAGGAGAGACGCCACACAGGCTCGGTGAAGGCAATGACGCTCCGCTCCCATTCCGTCGCCTGCGCGGGGCCGTCGCCGATCTCCGCGCACAGCTGCTCCCACGGTTTGCGGTAGATAACGACGGTCTTGTCCTGACCACACGACGCCAGCACGACAAAACGCGACGCCGGTGACGTCGGGCAGAAGGCGACGTCGCGCACCCAATCCGCATGCGCCTCCAGCACCTGGTGCAGCTCAAAGGAGAGCCCGCCCTCCGCCGCGCTCGGTGACACCCACAGACGCACGTGACTGTCGCATCCACCGGAGGCGACCACCATGTGGTCCGCCAGGGTTGACTTGAAGGGTGCGAACGCAACACACGTGGCGCCCATCGCGTGAGCAATTTGATTGCTATTGTTGCTGAGTTTGATGCTCGGCTGCCAGCACCCTCCGCGATAGGTGGTGATGGCCACGGCGCCGTCGCTGCTCGCGGTGGCCACGACGGGGCCGTACTCCTCTTGCGCCCACTGCACGGCGTTGACACTGCCTTGGTGGATGTCGATGACGTGCACCGGCACCCAATTCGACGAGCCCTGCGGAATCTCCTTCCAGATGATCGCCTTCTGGTCGTAGGAGGCGGAGGCGAGGAGGTTACCAAAGCGCGGGTGCGCCCAGCTCACCATCCACACCGGACCCTCGTGACCCGTCAGCGTGGCGACGCGGTGAAGCGGTGCGCCGGCGCGCGCGACGTGAATGCCGATCGTCCGATCAGAGCTGGCGGTGGCGAGCTGCAGGCCGTAGTAGTCGAACTGCGTGTCGTGAATGACGTCGGAGTGCTCCTGCACCACAGGACGCTGCTGCACGGCAGGGGCGGCAGGGATGCCTTGGTTTACGGGCTGCCGTTGGAACATGCCCGGTGCTCGCGGCATCTGGGGAAAGGACTGAGCACGCATTTCGGATGGAGTGAGGAGGGCCCGGAGGAGTACTTGTGCTCTACAATGACAAAGAAGATGACAGCACCAACAATGGTGGTAACAGGGCGGATTTCACCTCTGCCGCGAAGAGGAGTTGAAGACAAGACACAAAGAGGAGAAGGAAGACAAAGAGGGCAATTAAAGTAGAGACAGAAGAGGACGTACCGCTTTTAGCGCACCTCAAGCGTCACGTGCCACAAAAGATACGCCGTTGATAGATTTTTTCTTGATAGTTTTCTTCTATAAAGTCGCCACTTCGACGTGACCAATGTCTTTCTTGGGGGCTCCCTCACGCACCCAACTGTCGAACACAACAAAATACAATAAAAGGAGTATTTTTCTTTTTGTAATATGCATTGCGTCAACCCCACCAAAGCAACGTAGAAGGGAAACGGAGAAAGCCCGTTGATGAAAACTTAGTCGGACACGGCTTCGTTCCTTACGCAGCCAGACGCCGCAGCAAGAAATCTGGCAAGTGTTTGCTCTGGAATCGATGCGTGCTCACAAACTGTTGTCGGTACTGTGCTCTCCGCACTGGCTAAACTCCGCAAGTACGCCAATTCGTACAACGTGAGATGCGTGTGGGCCAATCGGGTCTCCTCGCGCTCCAGCATAGCGCGACTGAGACGCTGCGCCTTTTCTACGTAGGCAATGCACGCGCCCAGCTGCTCAAAGGGAAAGCCTACCCTTGCCTCTTTCGCGGGAGAGTGCGAGCGCGGGCGTTTCTCTGCGGCGCTTCTCGAGAACGTGTCCGGTCGACGACGTTCGACGATCGGCACGTACCAATCGCGATGCTTGAACGGCAGCGGGCAGTCTCGCAGCACCGCCGGGTGGCACAGCGCCATCTCGTTGTCTTCGCGAATTGTGGCACGTAAGTTGGGAACGGTGGACAGCAGACCGCCCGCGCCGTTGCGGCGCAGCAGCCAGTACGCGTGCAGCTCGTCCAGCACCTCGGCGCTTAACGTACCTTCGTCCAACTGCGATTTGGCGTAAGGCAGCAGTCGCTCCAGCGGCACCTCCGGATGGTAGTACGCGGCCAGCTCGAGCGCTGTGAATACATCCTCAAGTACCGACATGCTGAGGTGGGACTCTACCGGAACGTACGAGCCCACGCCGCCAGTTTTGCCGCGCAATACGGACACGCCACCGTCCTCACCGCGGAGAGAAAGCACCGGCCGCCGCGACAGCCATGCACGGTCGTAACGGTCTGCAATGTAGCGCACCCTCACCGTGTCCCTGCGGTCGAAGCTGGAGGTGTGGAGAGAATTTGGGCTAAGCTGAAAGGCGTCGACGTCGCCGAGCGAAGTCTCCCATTCCGCTCGCAAGCGTATCTGCGGCCGCACAATGGAAGACGCGGCGGTGGAGGTCGGCGGGTTGAGTGAGGACGTCAGCGAGGGTGACGAGGCCGTGGAGGAAGGGGAAGGCGAGAAGGGCGACCGTGGCAGCAGCGGTGAGGTAGGGAACTTCAAGACAGAGGCCGCCGCCGGCGAAAAGTTGTCGATGCTCACTTGATGGAGCACCAGCTCCTGACTGGGCAGCAGCTTAGGGTGGTTCATGCGAATTATTCAAAACGTGAATGCTTTGGAGGGGGGAGGAATTGGTTTTGTATTTGCCGCTATAGAACAACAACAAAATAAAGTGATAATACCTTTTATGCTTCGCAAACGGGAAAAGAGAAAATGAGAACAAGAAGAGGTGCAGCGACATCCGTAGCAGTAGTTGCAAAAAGAAGGAGTGATATGCGCGAGACACAACCAATGACGGTCATCAGTGTTCACAAAAACAGGCAGCAAACCCCCAAAATGTCCTCCACCGCACACGCGGACCAGAAAAAGGACGTCACCGGTTACGTTGGACAGGTGATACGTGCGCCATCACGACTCTCTTCTCTCACAACAATTAACGTTGGCCAGACGAGATTCATGACTGCTGCATTCACGCTGTTTCGTTTCATTTTTTGCAACTGAAAAAGGTCTGGCCCGAGGCGGCCCAGAGAAGGCAAGAAAAGGAAAGCACACCGAACCCAATGAAGCCCACTCGAGTTGATTTGCTCTGCATGTATTTTTCTTTCGTAGTCCAACTCCAACACAGACACACACACACAACTCAAGTCCCAAAACCCAAGGATTACTCCATGACACAGATCAGCGCACCACAATAAGACCGAAAAACATCAGGAAGAAGAAGAGCATCGCAAACACCTTCAGAATGAGACCGCGGTTGGAGCTAAGATTTGTCAAGTAACGCATGAGTTCGTTACTTCCCGCGTTGACGTGACGCACCGCATCGCCCACGTCAGTGTCAATGCGGAGCACCACCTCTTCCTGTTCTTGCACAAGCCGGGTGAAGTCGTTGAAGAGTTCGCCCACTTCCTGCACGGCAGCCTCGATCTCCATCACGGCGTCGGCGCGCTGCTGGTAATACTGGATGTTACCCGTGCCAGCCAGCAGCTGCTGCTGTTGCTGATGCTGCTCCTGATCTTGGAAAAGCGCGCTCTCAAATGTCTGTGGCCTGTCCGCTGTCGTGAACATATGGCGTCGATTTGCCTTGTCCTTTAGACTTTTGGACTGGTGCTGGAGAGTGGTGCGAAACTGCTGGCCTGTTCTGGCCAGACGGCTGCGCAGTGTCTCTACCACAGTGTCACTGTGCTTCTCTGCGGTGCGGAGATGACCCGTTGAGGTGGGAGCGGTGTTCTTCTGAGACGTCATCGCCCGCCTCTTCAGCTCCTCCAGCGTTCCAGCGTCATTGTGCAGGCGTTGCAGCGACGTCTTCACTATCTGCGTCAGCTCGCTCACTTCTGCTGTCTGGTCGTCAAACACACTCTGTTGGTTTGTCAGCTGCGTAAGTCGCATTATGTACTCTGATACGGTGGCGATGTTGGTGGAGAACTCCTTCGCGAAACGGTTGAATGTCTGCACGTCGGAGCTGCTGTGCAAACCCGGAGCGACGGCGGTCGTGGTCGCCGGCTGGGGTTGACGCTGCCGCATCCGCGAGAAGAGGTCGTACAGCTCATTAGAACGATCCCGTTCGACCACCATCGTTAACGTGCCTTTTCTAATTATGTATCCTTGGTGGCTCCTGAGTGCCAATCATTAGAGTGTGTGTATTTGAGACACAGGTAACCCGACTTACCGTAATTCCCAAAACCTATTCGTAAGAAACGAGAAGGAAAAAAAGAGAGCGGATGCATTCACGGAGGTGCAAAAGCGCTGAAGAAAGTGGCTTGCGGTGCCCAACACCTCTCACGGCGAGCTCCACAGAAGGACGGGCCCACGTTCTTTTCCCGCTGCTGCATGCGTGTTTGGTGAGATCTGAGAAGTGAACGATATCTCTTGCTCTATTATTGTTAAATTTTGAAGTCGAAAAGACCTTTTCAGAAAGAACAAGATGTGTCTAGGTCGGACCTTGGTCTGCAGCTATGAATGCATCGAGGCTCCCGTCTTTCGGTAGCGTCCACGCGTTGAGTCCATTTGTGTGGTCGTGTACTTCATATCTTCTGTAACCTTGCACTCAGCAACAACAAAATATTATTTACACCGCATTCGTTTTGCGCGAATGAACGCGGGGAAAAGAAAGTAAGAGAGATGGTACGACATACCAAATCTGCAGCTCCTGTTGTGGGCGAAAGAAGAAGTCCAAACAATCAAAGAAAAGGAAAGAACGCCAAAAAAGGTTTTTAAATTGCAAGACAGACTCACAGCATTACCAACGCCACCTGGGAAGAGTCGATCTGCGGATACGCCCAGTTATAGAAGTAGTACCGCAGATAACCGTCGCCTGGACCGAACTTCATTTCTTCAAAGAACGTGCGGCTGTCGAGGATATCCACGGCGTTGCACACATCAATGCCGCGGGAGTGCGCCGTAATGAGCAAGTCAAGAATCAGCTGCTGGAGAGGCATGCTCGTGGCGGCGTAGTAGTGGATGTACGCGACCTCTAGCGTACTGTACTTCTCGTTGCCGATCACGGTAGAGGGGATGCGAAAAAACGAGAAGAAGTCTGTCACTTTACCGTCATTCTCCACCACGTACGAGAACACCACATGCTCCCGCGGCAGCAGGTAGTGCTCGATCTCCGCCTTATCAAACTCCGGTCGTACGTCGAACTTTGCGAGGTAGTTCGAGAGGATCTTTTGGACTGCCGGGACGTCGTCCCGCGTCATCTCACGGAGGCCACTGCTACGCGGGGTGTCCGGCAGCTGGTAATACCGCTTCAGCATCGCCATCGGATTCTGGAACCGCTTGAAAGCTTGGGGGATGGAGGAGAAGCGCACATCCACCAGCTTCTCCTGATTAAAACTGCGGTGGAAGTACCGGCCTGACGTGTACGGCGTGGGCAGCGCGACGCCGGCGGTGTACACGGCCTGCCACACACCGGTGCGGTTCACACGCCGCGTGACCTCTTGAATGAGGATAGGGGCCAAGCGCTTCTCCCGCAGTTGCTTGTGGATGCAGAGAAAATTGATTTCACAGATGCGCCGCGGACCGTCATACTTCGCTGCTTCCTCTCCTTTGCCCTCTTCCCGTGCCTTCTCCTGGATCGCTTTTGGCGTCCCCATGTGCAACGTCATTGGAATACCAGCGATAAAGGCAAGCAGCATCTTGTCCTTCCGGCGGCGCACCGCCACGTGCCAGTCCCGGATGTAGCCCGGTGGGCGGAGGGCCCACTGCAGGAACTCCTTCGTGTAATTGAAGCGAAACATGCTGTCGTCGTCCTCGACGTAGTTGTCGCGCAGCAGCTCGTATATAGCTGTGATGTCCTCGTCGCTTTCCAGGTTCGGCGTCCACCACTCAAACGTGCTGGCAATCGGGTGCGGCTCCGTCGGGATATCATCCACCGTCTTCGGGGCATCCATCGGTCCCGCGAAGATTACACTTTGCATCTCGCCTTCCGTCTGAAGCACCGGCTGCGTGCTCCAAAACGCGTGCGCCGAATCACGCGCTGGATCGCGTGACATGTTGCTGCTGTTATGGTAAACACTTAGCTTCAACTGTCCTTATATATTCTTTTGATTTTGTGTTGTGTCGCCGCTTTACTTCACGGTGAAGTCACCGAGGGGTCCTTGTGCGATAGAGATACTGGTAAAAGAAAAAGAGAAAACAGCACCAGTGAAGAAATCCTCTTTTTCTTCTCGTCGCTTGCAATGCCTCGCCAGACACACCGTAGAAGAAGAAGCCGATCGCCGTAACGGGGTGGTCGGAGAGCACAGGAAATGGGAAGTCGCCAACACGTCCAAGATCGGGAAAGGGAGTAGTGCGAAAACCTCGATGGCCCACTGAGAAGAGAGAGAGAAGAAAGATCTGTGCCCGAAATTCAACGGAGGAGGAGGAGGAAAATCAAGTAGCTGAAAATAGTGACGGCTAGAGTGCTCATGAAAGATCAGAGACCATATATGAAGCAATGTCGCTGCAGTGCATATGTACTGCACCGTTACAACGTGGCTCGCAAAGGTGGCGTATCCATCTCAAGGTGAGAAGGCTGCACGTAGAAAAGAAGCACACTTCTCCCCAGCGCACAACACAAAGAGGTAATCGACCTGAGAGGCCCGCAGGGCGCCTTTCGTTTGTACTCGTCCGTGCTTCGTTCGTTTTGACGTAAGAAATCTATTTTTGTTTTTCCTTTTTTGAGGAAACCTGTGATGCCTATCGACTCCACTTTCGTCTGAAATTGTGTGTAGGAGCGCTGCGCAACAACACGCTCTTCGCGGCACATCTGTGTGAATAAAGAGAGGTGGGGAACAACTAAATCCCCGCCTCGCAGCACAGCCATCAAGTATCCTGAGAAAGCTCCAGTAGTGCGTCAAAACGGAAAAGTAGCTAGTCCGTCGGTGTGTCAGTTGACCAAATCTGGCATGTCCGGCATCTCCATCAAATCCTCAAACACGCGCGCACACAAAAGGCCGCCAAGCCAAAACTTGCAGAATCGGCGCCGCTTCGCCTCCGAGAAGGAGACCCACCACACCTCCCACCCCTCAGGAACACTGCGGAGCGTGTCGTGGCTTTCTTTCAGCACCACGACCGCCTTCGCAGAGGCCACGGCAGCCTTCAAACGCGACTGCAGGTCACCATCCTCCGCGTCAGCACGGATGGAACTGTTGAAGAGATCCGACTTGGACCCGTAAAAATCCTTGTTGATCTTCTGCAGCTCCCGAGTGAGAGCCAACTCGCTTTTCTCCGCGTCACCAGAGCTGAAGGTGCTGTGCGGGCTCCTTCGTGACCGCATTTCGGTGGCCTGGTACAGCGCGTCTGTATCCTTGTCCCGCACAGACACTGCTGCCTCTGTAGGCTTCATCACGGCCACGGCTGCGGCTGCGGCTGCGGGGGATGACCCCGCCGCCGCCACATCCTGCGCCGGTGTTGGAGTCGCTGTTGCGTGTGCGGCTGCTGCTTCGAACTCAATTGCAGTCTTTGGAAGCGGGGGGATGACGATACGCTGAAGGTACTTCTTGTCCCACTTCGGAATGTGCGGTGTCCCGAAGAGGCCGCGGCGAAATGTGAGTTGGGTGCGGCGATAACGCCAGATGTGTTGATGACGGAAGCGGACGAAGGAGGGATAACAGCTCCAGAAGGTCATCAAGACGAACAGCACACCAGCAGAGTACAAGTAGGTGTCATATATGTACGACGCCTTGTTTAAGATGGGGTCAGCAAAGAGCTGGAAGGGATTCTTGTTCTCTTGGAAAATGCGCTCCATGAGCTTTCGATCCTGCTCCTCTTCCTCCTTATCGTGCTTCGTACGCACCCCAATCGCGTCTGACCCGCCAACCATTATGTCTTCGGTTTGTTTTTCCCTCCTCGAAGTCTGCGTTGAAGAGCACAATGAAAGAAATGCAGCTGCAGCTGCAGAGCACGAGGAAAAGAGCTAATAAGCCACAGGCGAGGGGAGAGGAGAAACAAGATGTTCCAATCACCTGCTCAGGTAACACGACGCGACTGCCACGCCAATCAGAAATGAGAGTTCAGTTTCCAGCGCAAACGGGAATGATTTGGCGTGCAATCGGCAAACTCCACAGTGCCAGCAACAAGGCACAAAGCTAAAAATAGAAAGAGAACACGCGGAGAGTGAAAAAGAATACATATGCCGAGGAAAGAAGGCCTACTTACATTTGCGAATCAAGAATAGATTCTTTATTGACAGACTCGCCCCACGATGTCATCAGAAGCAGATCGGAGAGTGTGCCGCAGAAACCTTGCGAATGCTACTTTTCTTTTCAGCTTCCTGCACGCTGCGCAACTTTGTTGAACTTATGTTGTTTCAAGCAGACACTTTCGCATCATCACCATTCTGAGGTCACCGACGCTACAATCGCTCCGCGTGGCCTCCCAAGGCGCCAAGGAAGAAAGAAAGAACGGCTAAAAGAGAGGGAGCAAATTCCGAAACTGCCGTGACAGTTGCAGTCGCTTCTGTTGTCGTTGATGAGCGCGAGACTCTCAGAACTGCGGAGCAGGGTTCTCGGAGTCCATGATAAAGATGGGCTGCAAGACGTTGTACGCATTCATCTCCGCTATGCGACCGTTGGCAAGCATCTCTTCCAGAATAAAGTACGCTTTTTCGGAGTTGTACATGAGGTCCAGCTCACAGGCGCTCTCAAAGTAGGCGTCAAAGGCCTCCATGACAGCCTGGATAAACTCCATAATGCTCAGATCGTTTTCTTGGAATACATCGTAGCTTGCCACGGGGCTCTGCCGTGGTGTGTTATCCACACCTACAATAAAATACAATGAGGCGTATCGGCGGTAAATGAGTTTATAGTGGAGGTGGTCAACGAAGCTGCAGTCGCCCTCCCGCCGGTGCAGACATTTGCGCGCCGCCTCGCTCTCCAGCGCGACACGGACGTCGAGAGCGATGTGATGGCGAAAGTACGACAGCCGCGTCTCCCCCTGCTTGTTCACCAAAATGACAAATTCGATCGCCATCTCGCACCCGCGGGGGGACGTGGTGGAAGTCGCTCGCCGATATGAGTGGAAAGGGAAAGAGAGAGAGAGGAGAGAAGCGCGTGTAGGTCCTAGAGGAAATTCACGACGAATTGGGACTGCAGCGTCCAACACGCCCACGTCGCTCTCGGTAGAATGAACGAGTGGGATACGAATGAGAAACGGAGATGACAGAAGGAGAGAGAGTGGATTATTTTCATGAGCAAGGAAACGTATGTTCGTCTCCTTCCCTTTCAGACACAGACGGCAAAGGGCGAAAGAGAACGAATTAAAGAAGGGTGCAACTCCCTTCGATTAACACGTCGTTTACGTTGGGGTTTGCGTCGCTTCGCCACTGATTCCTTCTTGAGCCTCCCACGCATCACACCACTGCGGATCCGCGATGGCCAAACGTACAAGGGGTGCTATAAACGCGCGAAGCCTGCGAGCAAACGCACACGCATAAAACAAAAAACGTGCTTCCCCGCCATTTCTTTTTTCTCCGTCACCGCTACGACGCCGCCATGTAGAAGGAGAGGTGGACAGAACCGTTGGTTGTGCCTCTCCTATTTACCGTAGCATCTTCTGTTTGTATTTGCTCTTTGGGAGAACGTTATTGATGCATGCGGTAGTGCCAATGGAAACAATAACTAACAGAAGAAAAGAGAAAGAAGAGGAGGAGGGAGAAAGGAGAAAGGAGAAAAGGAGAAAAGGGAAACACGCACAATTTACCGCTGGGCCACAACGCAACGACCGCCGAAACCCGAAGAACTTCTAGAGACAGTTGGAGAGAAAGAATGAAAGGAAAAATGATCTCGTCAGCGGTTTGCAGCAGCACGGAGAACATGGACTTCAGCAGTGGATTAAAATCGTTCCAACGAGCGCGAGCGTGCCCAACTGAGTCAGACCCGCAGGTGTGTGCTTGCGTTTGCGTAAATTCTTTTTCTTGATGATTCTTTGTGTTCCATTTTCCGACGACAACAGCTGCGGAAGAAACAGCTTCATTGGTGTTCAGGAAGACCAGCTATGGCCTCAATCACTCCGCGGTAGGCCGCGCTCACGCTGGCGAACCACACGCAACCACCGCCACGCACACAACTCTGAATATACACAACACGGCCACGCTACCGGCGTGGCGCCAAAGATGAAAAACCAAACGACAGTTGAAGACGACGGTAGGACAGTTGAAAGAGGAAAAAAAGATTCTCACGCTATGTTTTGCCGAGTCCAGTTCTCCATGTACTCGTAGAACTCTCGAATAGGTGTTCGAACATCACTGCAGCTAGTGAATTTAGCCTTGCACAGCATATTACCAAAGGTGTCAAGGGCCGAGTCCCGTCGCATTCGCTCGTAGTTCTCTTCGTCGCTGCGTCCGGCCTGTGGTGCGAAGCGGGGAATGGATAGTCCGTTCGTCGCCGGCACGACGATCCCTGGGGCGGAGTCGTCCAAGAGGAGGGTATTACGGGGGTCAAAAGGAGGTCCAGGCAGCGAAGAGAGGTCCTTGTATCGGATCCCGTTCGCGTCCTGGGCGCAGAAGTCCCGGCAGTACCATCGACTTTCGGGAATGCTAGGTGTCAGCCACCGCAGCAGCGTCTTGGCGTATAACTCATCGCCGGCGGTCAATATGCAAAGGTCGTAGTACTCGGCGCAGCGCTGCAGGAAGCGGTCAACGCCAGGACGCTTAAAGGCGCAGTACTCTACCTCAGGTTCGTCGTCGAGACGAAACGAATAAAAGTCCTCACTTGAGGCACCGAAGAACTTGGGTCGCCCTAGATAGCAGTACACTAGCGTCTCGTCCATATCTAAAAGCAGAGTCTTTCTCTGGTTATTGCCAACGTACTCCTGAGGCTTGGTAAAGTACGGCGGCCGATTAACCTCGTTCATGTCTCAGGAAGGGAAAGAGACCTAAACAAGTGAGAGAGGAGGAATTCAAGATTACCGTACGAAGAAAAGCTAAAAAGGGCAAATGGACCGTGTCTGCGTGGGATTTTTGGAGCGGCTTGCTCGGCAACACAACACACACACACACACACACACAAGACACGGCAAACCTGAAGTACACCAAAGAAACAAAACAGAAAAGACACTCTTCGAACGCAAATAAAAGAGAGACAGAAAAAAAACACTGCAAAAACTGAAACTTAGAAAAGAAGGGAAAACCGAAACGCACTTCTTCCGTCTATTCAATCTAATAATATAAATCTTATAAGTGTGTGTGTGTGTGCGTGCGTTCTCGTGTACTCGTGTACGTTTGAGGGCAAAGAGATACGGCACAAAGGTCGGGTGGCTCCTTGTTCTACTTCAGCTCGTGATCTTTTAACTATCGTTGTCTTTTTTCTTTTTGGATGCTCTGTACTCTTAGTTCGGCCGCTGCGTTAGTGGTGGACAGACCTAAGCGTAACTCATTATTCCTCTCATAAAGAGGGATATATATAAATATATATAAGTTCTCGATTGTCACTCACTCTTTTGCAGCCAGTAGTGCCGAGAAGCCGTATCGTTCTATCGTAGCACTCAGCACCCTATTATGCTGGAGATGTGAGTTCTTTCCAACCCTGGTTTTGGTTTTGATAATTTCAGTTCTGTGTGACGATGTCAGCGCCCGGCAAGGAAACAAAGGAAGGAGAGCAAGGAAGGAAAGTGGAGGGAAGAGTAATAACTCGCTTTCCCTCAAAATTCGTCACAACCATTTGCTTTTGTCGTACATCCCTCTTCATTTTCTTTGTTCAACAATAGAAAGAAGGTCACACGCGCTGACGGCACGGGCAACCTTTGAGTGGCAGACGTTGTAAGTGGTGTGGCGCTAGTATATGTACGCTGATGGGCGTATAAGAAGTAAAGCTCCGAGCATGAGTGCTGTTGCATCGGTGATACTATTGAGGGAGACGCCAAAGGACCGGTATCTGCGTGACGGTGCTTTCTGTGAAGGATGTCTGGAAGCCGACGTATCGTGGAGTACAAATGCCTTTCTTTCCGTCAACGCAAACAGTGAAACAGAGAACGGTAGTTTGGCGCGTAGTTGATCATGAAACGAACCCAGTACAGTCTTCCTTAAAGAGGCATCAGGTAGAAAACAATAGCCGCAAAGACAGCCAGAAACAAAAAAAAAACTAGTAATAAAGAAGCGGCGGCCGTCGTTAACCACTTAAAGAACACAAATAGAAAACAAGAATAGTGCGTTTCTCCATCTACGTGCTCAGCGTACCAGCAGACAGCACATCTCAACAACTCAGCCAAGCCCACAGCTCGCTTTATCTCATCCATTTTGCGTTCCTCTCGCAAGAGGTGGAAGAGCGAAAGGAAGGAGATGCATGACGCTAAGAAGACGCGAGGGAAAGGCACGGAAGACATGCGGATCGGAGACTGCCCCTCAGTATCAACAGTCCACGAGTTTCTCCTTCAAGCGCCAAGACGCTTTCTACGCTTGCTCGATTTGGCGGAAACCGGCCTTCACAAACTCGTAGGTGCCAAAGAAGATACTACCGCCGAGGGAAATCCACAGCACCCGGGTGGAGGCCCCGCGGAAGAAGCGCTGCACATAGCCGAACCGGTCCCCTGGTCTCGCGGGCTCGCGCATTAAGTCGTCTAGCACAAACCGTATTTTGCCTCCGCCGGTGGGGCTGTGGTGGCGGAGAAGCATGATGCGCGTCTTAACCACGTCCAGCGGGGTGGTGAAAAAGGCAGCGCACCCGCCGCTGAAGGCTCCGCAGAGAGGCAGGGCGAGTGCCGCGTAGGGATGGTCCTTGTAGGCGTACACTTTGGATTTGAGCGTCTCGTAGAGGGACATCTGAATCACAGAAAAGGGCAGCTCGCGCATCAGCATGATGGGCATTCCGTGAAAGAGGTGGTACACACCAGAGAGGCGGATCGGCGGTGGGGGCGGCACCTGACCCACAGCAGCGGCGGCGGGAGGCGGCACGTTGTTGGTGATGTAGCGCAGCGCCGACATGATGTCGCCGTGGTGGCCCGCCTGCATCTGCTGCTTCACCATCTCCACCGGCACCCGAATGCAGCACGCAAAGGTCTCACCGCACATCGCCGCAGCGGCCTGGCAGGTGACGACTCGCGGCGTCAAACGAGATGGCCCCGTTGCGGCAGTATCCGCAGCGACAGTGGAGGACAAGGTCGAGCTCAGCAGGACGCGTTTCGCCGTGTCGTAGGCGAAGAAGAACGCCGCGCCGCCGGGCACCGAGCCAACGGCGACGGCGCTCAGGCCTTTGTACACGTGTTTAAACCCACCCGACGCAAGAAAGCCCTCCTTGGACTGAATGCGTGTCTTGACAGTGTCAATGGGGTACAGGCTCAGATCAACAAAAAGACCAGCGCACGCCCCGGCTATCAAAGACTCCATGACAGCGATCGATAGGAGGTGCAAAGTCCAATGAAGCGCGTTGGCGGCAAGAGAAAACACCGATGACTTATCAGGGCCAAATAATCCAAGCACTGCACGCTATGGTGACCAACGCCCTCGAAGGTGGTGGGAAAGGAAGAAACACGACGGCACGATCCGCTCCCAGTCTTGATCGAAAGAGCCTTCAAAGCATCGACACATTTTGAAGGAAATACATGCGCAGTGCCAACGATGGGTCAAGGTGCCAATGAAAGTGAAAATGAAAACGAAACGAGAGAAGAAGAACCGCAAAGAGAGCTGACTCGCCAAGTAGCGCATGACCGCGTATAGATGAACAAATGAAGCGCTTCATAGACATTTTGCCTGTTACACAACTAAGTCGTTTTAACCCAACCAGACCGCCGGGTTTGCATCGCGGCTACGGTTTAAAGGAAAAATGCACTTGCGCATCCTTTTCTATTGTTGGTTTTCTCTTCTTCCTTCGTTGTCGACAGCAAAAGAATACAATGAACCCAAAGTACATAAAACTGAACGAAGTGCCGTTGCCCCCTACGCCTTTCAACGCTCGCTTATCGGACAACCGTCCAGCACAAGTTGTCCGGATTCCTTCCAGCGACACCACCATCGTCCACCGCTGCAGTTCCGTTGCTGCACCCCGCGCATGCATCATCAGTGAATTTCTCCTACCATATTTTCCATCAACAAGCCGTGACGCACGAGGAGAAAAAAAAAAAAACAGACGGCAAACAATGGCAACTAGATCACAAGAGAAGTAGCAAAAGAGAAAATGAGAGAAGGGCCATGGCGCAGACACAGGCACAGCTGAAAGTGAGAAGGAAAAAGGTCCTCCGAAAGGAAACACTTGATGTATTCTCGTGCAACAGTAATTAGCTCAGCGAACCTTTCTGCTTTCTTCAGGTATTTCCTACGTGTTTGGGCAAACATGTGGTGTTCGTTCTCCCCTCCGTTTCGACGTTGCCGTGCCAGTTACGTATACGAAGGTCTGTAGCCGAGAATCGGAATCAATGCGGCCTAAAGTCGCTAGCCACGTGCTTCGCTACAACGGTGGAATGGATGCAATGCGGCCTTCGTATTGCCTGCTGAGGTGCGCGCTAGACCCGTTTGCGGCGGGCGACGACGCCCGTGAGTTCGTGGTAGAGCTCATTTCTCCGGACGCCGAGCGGGAGTCAACGTTTCCGTCTCGAGGGGCAGATAGGAGCCGAGCGGCGCTGCTGGAAGACATGCGGGAGAGCGGCCGCGGAAGGGGCCGCGAGGAAGAAGAAGACGCGAATGACGGTCCACTGTAGAAATGGTTGCCCACGGCGGCCCCGTGTCCGTCGGGGCCGCCGGACGTACTGGCGGGGGAGTTGTGGCCAACTGCGTAGAGCGGCGTCGTGCTCGTCGATGTCGATAAGACGGACACCTCCTTGATGCGGTGAATGATTTGGTTGCGCACGTCATCCGTGAAGGCGACCACGAAGTTCGGCTGGTTGTCCACCACCTTGCACTGCACGTCGGCCACGTCTACGTTCAGCTCCACGTTGACGGGATGGCCAGGGGCAGTGCTGACGGAGAAGGACATGTGCAGCCTGCCGTCTGCCTGCGGCCGCAGCTTCTCCGGCAGCCCGCTGAAGCTGCCGCTGCGATGAATCGACGCGGACGAGTCGGAGCGCGGCGTGGCGGCGTCGCGGTTGCTGTCCGCCTTCGACGTCGACGTGGGCGACATGTGTGGTGACCCGTCGTGGCTGCTTTCGTGACTGATGGCGGCGACAGCCGTGGTCGTGGTGGAGAGAGAGGCCGGGCGGTACAGCAGCGGCGGCGCGGGGATCCCCTGCGGGCTCGGCGGCACGGATGTCCCGCCCCGCGACGGCGACTCGCCACGCGAGAAGGTGCCACTTGGTGCCAGCAGCGGCGAGAAGGCGCGGTCGGTCCCGCCCAGGGCGGTGATGCCAGCGGCGAAGCGGGGGCTGAGGCTGTTGCGGCTGAAGGAGCCGCTGCGGGCGGGGGAAATGACGCGGCCGGGGCGCGTGGAGTCCTCCAACTCGTCTTCGGGGAGGTGCACCAAGTCAAGGTTGCCTTCTTCGTTGATACGCAGGTACTGCTGCAGCGGCGGGGCTCCGTCGAGGTCCAGCCCCAGCGGGAGCACAAAATTGCCACCCGACGCGCCCAGGGAAACCTGATTGTAGTAGAAGTTCTCGTGCACCATCGAGTGCTCGGGGGTGAAGACCGGGGAGGGAAACTCGCCAAGGCTGACGCTCACCGGGCCGCGGTGACTCAACGCGGGGGACAGGATGGACAGCGTGCGTGTCAGCGAAGGGCTCGTGTCGCCCGTACCAGAGCCCATCTCCAGCGGCCCCGGCTCCTGACTGACGCGCACACTCATGTCGAGTGGACACACGAGCGCCGCGCAGAGGTCGAGGGCAGTCGCCGCGGCGACACCTTCGAGCTCCTGCTGGCAGGCCACCTCCTCCTCCGCGGGGTTCAGCGTCGGCGAAAACGAAACGGACTTCTGCAGGGCGTCGCTCTCGTTCAGGCTCGCATCGTCGCGCTCCACCGCCGAGTCGCGCGGGCTGGAGAAGGTCGACGACTTGCCCGGCGAGCTGAAGCCCCGCAGACCAAAGAAGTTGTCCTGGTGCAAATTCAAGAAGGCGTTGGGTGGGATGACCACCACCGGCAGCCGCGTCCCCATAATCCACGGGTGCTTCAGCAGCTCCTCTGCCTCCGGTCTGTTGGCGACGTTGCGAGTGAAACACAAATCCATAAAGTTGAGAAACTCCGCCGAAAACTCGCCTCGCGCCTCCGGGGTGGGGAACACCATCGGCGAGTCGCCGGTGGTCGTGATGTAAAACATAAGCGGAATGTTGTCCTTCACGCCGGTGTGGTACCACGGCACGAGGCCAGTGCTCAGCTCGAAAAGCGCGCACGCCAGAGACCAGATGTCGGCCTTGTGATCCGCCTCGCCCTTGATGAACTCCGGTGCCATGTACACCGGCGTGCCGATGATGCAGCTGGCCGCCTTGTTCAGCTCCGTGACACGCTTACTGCATCCAAAATCGCACAGCTTGACCTCGCCGCGGTGACTGACGAGGATGTTGGCCGTTTTGATGTCACGGTGAAAGATGCCCTCGCCGTGAAGAAAGCGGATGGCGCGCAGGATGTTGCGTGTCATGATGCGCAGCACCGCCTCAGTCAACGGGCCGAATTTTTGTAAGAGGTGCAACGTCGAGTCGCCGGCGAGAAGCTCCATGACGATGCGGCACACCTGCTGTGACTTGCTGTGCTCAAAGAGAGCGTAGCTGACGATGTTGGGGTGGTGCAGCGACTTCAGCAGCGCAAACTCGCCCTCGATCTCGTTAAGGGCGGTGATGTCCTCGACGCCCGAGATGTCGATTTCTTTGATGGCGACGAGCTCCCCGCTCACCGTGTTCACGCCGGCGTACACCTTCGCAAAGCCACCCGCTCCAATGAGAAGACCTTTCTTAATCTCCATCGGGTGCTCCCGATCGCCGCGGATGATGGTCTCGCCACAAAGGCTAATGAAGGCGCGCAGGGTGTTCATCGCCACCGATAGCTTCGTCTGGGCTTGGGACAGCGTACAGACGACGGAGCCCATCGCGCACGAGGCGACGGCGCGGTGCACGCTGTGGCGCACGTTGGCCGTGCGAGAAACAAAAGCGGTACTCGCGTGTCGCGAGGAGCCCAACAGCGGGCTGCCTGTTAGGCCGGAGACGCCGGTGTTTACGCCGAAGGTCGACGCAGCCGTCAGCATGCCACTCACACTGTTCTCTGGTGGCCAAAAAGTCGTCCGGCCACCCTGGCCGCCAAAGATGCCGAAAACACTGCTCTGCGGCTGGTGCGATATCGAGGTGTTCAGCATCGGTCGCTCATTGTCGAGCCCGACACTGCTGCCCCGGCCATGACGGGGATGCATGAAGGTGCTACGGTACATGTAGGACATGCTGCCATCGCGCGGCCGCGACTGCGAGGCGCCGGGTAAAAAGCGGCTCGTGTTGAAGAGGCGAAACGACCTCCCCCACTCCTTCGGTGTGCTGCTGCGCGCTGGCGAAACGGACACGCTCGTGTTGCTCAGAGTGCGACTGTTCGAGCCACGCTTGTGACGGCGTTCGGTGATGCTGTCATCTGGTCCACCGCCAGCTCGGTGACCGTTGGCGCTGTTGATCTTCAGCGTGTGCGTACTGCACGAGCTCTCATCGGAATCGCGCTCGTTGTCCTGCAGCTTTCCTGTAGCCAGCGACCACTGCGGGCGGGTGAAGCGACCCGTGTGCACATTGGAGTCCGGGGGAGGGCCGGCCGTGGAGGTGCTGCTGCCCATGTAGTCGTCCGCGTCGTCTGCCCGACTTGCCGTGGAGCCGCTCGAGCGCCGCGACTCCGAGCTCGTGGGTTTTTCATCATCGCTCTGCATGTTGGACAAAAGAAAGAAAGAGGGCAGATACCAAAGGCAGAGATGAGTATTTCTTTCCAGAAAACGCGGGCACAAGAAAAAAGAGTAGCTGAAGAAGCTGTCGAACGGACTGAGAGAGAGGAGAGGTTGCTTACGTAGCAAAAGTGCAGATGTGTTCAGCGTGTACGTTAGTGGCGAATACCCTGTTCAACGAATACCACGCGCCGCCACACTTCTTGTTGTGCACACGCAGCCCGTACGCGAGGGACCGCGGAAGAAGCAAAGAGGAAGAAAGAAAAATCTACAAGTTTTACAGAATTCCGCCGGAGACAACGGTTGGTTCGCTGATGCGCTCTGAACTCAAAAAAAAAGAGAGAAGGAGGAGGAGTTGCAAACGAAGAACGAGGTAGAACGGTGCCAACTCAACGGGCAACGAAAAGCAGAACATCACGGTGAGGAAGTAGCGACGACAGAAAGTGCGTCGGCGTCACGATGAGAGTTATTTCCGATAATTACTACTTCGATTGACGCATTTCGCGCACAAAGAAGACCCGCAGCGTATGCGCACAACATAAAACACATCGTAACGGTGAGCAAAAATAATTACTCCATACCTTTTTCCCTCAAAAAATTCGAATTCTCCTTTATCGCTGGTCGCAGCATAGATGTTTACAATAACTGAAGATAGGGGGAAAAGCGAATGCGCATGAGCTTTTCGTTGCAGTCGCAGCAGCAAAAAGATGTCATCATCAACTGAACGCCTTCTTCGCAGGAAACAGTAAGCTCTCCAAATCTAAAACACTGAAAGCAAACGCCAGAGGCGGGTGATAAAGTTTCCATCACTTTCACGCAAAGCCATCTTCGGGACGCAAGAACGGAAGCTGCTTGTAGAGGGGCTCTAGCTCCTCCTCCGTCAAGGTGTGGTCCAGCCCACAGAGCTGCAGCAGCTCCTTCTCTGACCCCGCGGTGAGCGCTAAAGAGGCCAGCATCCCACATGTAAGGTCACGCAGAGGCTCAATAAGAAGAAAGTCGGCCAACATCGCCACCTCCAAAATGCGGTCCATCGACGACGGCCCCCTCTTCGCTAACGTGCGGCACAGCGCAATGGACGACTTGCTCTCGTGCGCCTTCCCCATGAGGCACTGCTCCAGAAGATAATTCATCTCCCAGTCGTACACAAGCTCCTCCAGCGGCGCACGCAGCGGCTTACTCAACAGCGTGGGTACACGCGTCTGGATCAGGTCGAGGTAGGCGAAGATGCACTCGCAACCTTCGCGGGTGGCTTGCGGCAGCACCACCGGCGGGATCGGGCCCTGCACGGGGTCAGCCTTGCGCTTCAAATCCACATCGACGGAATCCAAGAGGGAGTCCAGAAGACGACACAGCCGAGCGCCGCGGTTGTGAAGGGCGAAGTCGTGGCGCACCACCTTCTTGTCCGGTCCGGTGCTCTGCGCCACTACCCGAATGTACTCCCCAGGCGGAAGTCGATCCTTCTCTCCGCCGCTGAGGTACATAAAGAGCGGCGCCTTCCCTGAAAGGTCACGCGTCGTTGCGGAGGGCATTGGAGCTAAAGAAGAGAGAGAAAAAAAGTGTGCGAGGGAGAATTGATAGAGCGATCAACGCAAGGAGTCTAACCAACGCAAATTAGATGACAACGAAAAGGAAAACAGAAAAGGAGAGCTGCGCCGCTCCGTCACAGAAAGCAGCGAAGAAATATTTTACGTGTAGCTGGTGACAGATCGTCCGACAGAAAGAGAAGGCGACGAAGGAAAATGTGCGGCACGGATAAAACAGCGCCTACCCCATTTTATTAGTCCTGTTGTCAAGATAGGCAAGCGAGCGTGGTGCGAGTACAACCGCTATCGAGTGGGTGCTTTGACACAAGGCCGACTGAGAACACAAACCAAAAAAAACAAAGAGAAAAATAGAAAAGGAAGAAGACAAAAACCAAGACGACTCATTGTACATAAATCGTAAAAGGGAGGGCATAAAACAGGCGTAGATAATGATTGAAGAGACGTGGTTGAGCTGAACAATGGTTTTTGCTTCTTTCTGCAATACGATCACAGAGTAGTTGTTCCTTCGCGGGCAAAGCTGAAGAAACGCGTCCGAAGTCTTTTACTTCCCATCAACTCCAGTACGACTACGGCGCAAAATGCATCTGAACGGTGTCACCACCATCCCGCTGGCGTTTCCTTTGCGGATTCAAAATTCGTTTTCTTCCTCTACTGTTTGTTCGCTCCATTATGTTAAATAGTGAAAAGGGAGAAGGAGATCACCGACGGAGAAAACCGCTATTCCAATCAAAGAGGAAAGAGAGCCTCAAGAGGAGGAAGAAAACCTGTGTAGCAACAATGGAAGAAGAAAATCCCGTAAGAGGAGTGATGGCGCAGCCGCACACCGCAAAATCACGCAATCTGCTGCAAAGCGCTGCAACGCATCCCGAAGAGCAAAGGAGTTCTTTGCACACCTGTATTGAATACGAGAGAACACTGAAAGCAGCGATGTTCTCTAAGGTTGGCAGAGGATAACGGAAATTGTCCGCCTTCTCTTCTCCGCAAGAGCGATAATCCTCCCAATCCAACTTTACACAGTGACAGGCGCGAGAGTGTAAATCAAACACAGCAAAACAACAACTTCAACAGAACAAAAAAATATGTATGAGCTCTATCGCAAACAGAAGGCAAAAAAAAGGGTTTGTAAGGCCACGTGCCCACTGCGCGTACAGTCAAACGTCTCACTGTGCAACGCGCTCATACATATACTGCTGCTACGCCTGTCACTTCTTCGGCGCCTTGGAGAGCGCTTGCAAGAGCGACGCCGCGGCCCGGCGAGTGGAGTCGGTCGACGCACGCTCCGATAGCGTCGTCGCCAGCGCAACGCCGTTGTGCTGCACAAAGTACGAGGCCGCGGCCGAAATAACGCTAATGTTCTTTACCGTCAAGGCGGCCTCTTTCGCGGATTCCTCCGAGCCGTGCTCGATGATGTGCAGCAGCGCGGGACCAAAGGCGATCTTCTTGTCCGTAGCGGCGTCGAAGCAAATACGCACATTATCGTCATTGCTGACAGTGCAATTACGGATGGTGAGGAGGGCGTTGAGAACCGCATAGGTGTGCGAGGACACCTCTGCCTTGCCACCACGGGCGTTGCCTTTTCCTTGAGGGTACTCGGCGCTCGCCTTTTCCGAGACGAGTTGGATGAGGGCGTAGAGGCCGCCGTGGGTGCGAAGGGCGTCACGGTTGTCGTTGTTGTTTACGGTGAGGGACGAAAGTGCGCCGGCCACCTGCTCCAGCACCACCGAGGGCTGCTGAGGAGAGAGCAGAAGCATGCACATCAAGTCCAGCCCACCCTGCGCCCGCGGCTTCTCCTTGTCGTCACGCGACAGGTACCACAGCGCGGAGGCAATCGACTCCTTTAGCTGCAGCGATGGCTCCTGGAAGCGACTGCTCTTGTGGGCTGCGGTGTTGGACTGGAAGACGGTCAGCGAGGAGTAGCAGTCGAGCACCACCGCCGCAAAGCTTCGAATGGCACCTGCGTCGATCAGCGCGGGCCGGTTCTCGCTGACGGTGCTGCAGTTGCGCAGCACACCCACCAGCTTCTCTTTCACGTTCATCGGCACCGACAGCGCGGGGGTAGCGAAGGGCAACTTCTCCAGTGCGGCGGTGCTGTACGCGGTCTGGAAGGCCGCGAGGTTAAACTTGCTCGAGACCACCGGCATGCGGAGCGGCGCAAAGAGACTCGCGTCCCTGCCCGTCGCATCGCCCGCCCCCGCAATGCTGGGCGATGACATTTCTAAAATTCTCGTGAAGGCCTCAATGCCGCCGGCGTAGCGCACCGTGTGCTTGATCTCCGGTGAGATGGTCAAAATCCACAACGTGGAAGCCAACTTGTCAACGGTCGACGGTGAGAGAGGGGCGGGCTTGCTGCTGCCGCTCGCATCCTTCCTGCCGGGGCCCAGACAAGCCTCCTTCACCTTTGTGACAAGGAGCTCCACGCCGCCGCACTCTCGGATGACCGGCTTGTTTTGGTCGTTGATCGCGCAATTGCGGAGCGTGCCGGCAACGTTGTCGATGATCTTCTCGCTGAGGGGCATCGTCGACTTGACCGAGGTGCCGCGCGCCGACTCGATCGGCTTGCGGTGGTTCAGCAGCGACAGCAGCACCGGGATGCCGCCGGCCTTGCGGATGACGGGGCGTGCCTCTGCCGTGGCCGAGCAGTTCCACAGCGTGCCTGACGCGTTCTCCACCACGGCCACGCTGTTCGACGTGGACATGACATCGACTAAAATCTGCACTCCGCCGTACTCGATAATCTGCGTCTTGTTCTCCGCCTCCACGCTCAAGTTCCACAGCGCGCCGGCTGCGTTTTCGCGCACAAACTCGTAGGTGCTCGCGTCGCTCGACGAGCCGGGGTGGCGAAGGAGCTCCAGCAACGCCGGAATGGCACCCAGCTCGCGCAGGTGCTTGCGGTTCTCCGCGTTCGACGCGCAGTTCCACACTGCACCGGCCATCTTCGTCTTGATAGAATCGGAGGGGTGGCGCAGTGTCGCCGTGATCTTTTCCAGCCCCCCAATCTCGCGTATCTCCCTCTTTGAGGCGTCCTCGCGTGTGATGTAGCCGATCACCATCGACACATTTTCTAAAATGGGTAGCGAGTCCGTGTAGAGGAGATCCAAGACGGCTCGCAGCCCTCCCAGCTCGCGCACCTGCGAGCGAATAGACGTCTCGTGGCCTCCGTTCCGCTCGACCTTTTCGTCCTTGGTGAGGAGGCCCCACACGAAAATAAGCGCGCGCTCTAACACCGCCTCTGACGTGCTCACCACGACGATGTTGACGAGCGGATCCAGCCCGCTAGACGCGAGGAACGTCTTGCGTGCGAAGCTGCTAAGGGTGTTGGCAGGGGCAGCGTTGATCAGCGCATGGGTGCCGCACACGAGCGGCGCGAGGAACTCAAGAACCTCGCATTTCACATCATCGTTTACGCTGCTCAGCAGCTTCGTGAGGATGGGAACGGCGTTGCCTTCGCGGACGAGGGTATCTAAAATGGTGAACAAATTCTCGTTGGTGCCGGGCTGGCGAGAGTTGGGGGACGCCTGGAGGGCAAAACTGAGCAGCTGCAGCTCCGCCAGTTGCACCGGTGGCCGCGGCTCGCTGATGTGACCCAAGACGGCCGTCATGACGACGAGGACATCCGGATAGGAGTGCGAAGCCATCCAGTTTGCGTTCTTGCTCAGGTGCTGCGAAGTGTAGCCCTCAATCGCGTTTAGCAGCACCGTCTCCTTCACTTCGGGCAGACGCAGCAGTGAGAGGAGGCCCTCGGTGGTGAGCGCCGCCGGACCGCCAGAGCGCGGCGAGGAGGCCGAGGTGCTGCTTCTTGCCGCCGCACTGTCGTCGCTCTCCGCGTCCGTTCGGGGCTTCGGCTGTGGCGGCCGTGACGTCGGTGAATTTTTCATCGGCGCCGGCTCCGGTGCGGCCTTGTTGGGCTGCTCCTCTCCTTCGTCCTCCGCCGCCCTCGAGTCCTCCGCCACGCGCTTCATGGCATCGGGCGAGCTGTTGGAGGCGGGCGACATGGCCATGCCCTCGGCATCCATCAGGTTGGGAACCTCACCAGCCAGGTAGAGGTTGAGGGCCACCTTGCACAGCTTCTTCTGCTGCGATACCTCCTGCAAGCGGCGCTCCTGCGTCCGCATCTGCGCCTCTACACGTGTCATCTCCGCGCGCAATTTATCGTAGGTGATGGATATCATTTCTTTGGAAGCGTTTAGTTTTTCCTCCTCCTTCGCCAACTCTGCGGAGCGCCGCGCCAGCACGTTGCCCATGTCTTCGCCTTGCTCGGCCGCAACGAGGTGTCGGATGTCCCGCGCGAAGGTGCCCAAGGGACACGTGTTTGCCTCCTCCGACGCACTAAGAACGCCCAGCAGCGAAGCGACGTCGTACTCCATGGAGGTCATTGATAGCTGCAGAAAAAAGATAGAGGAGAGGAGAGAGGAACACGACGAAAGGTGCACCAGAACGTCAGCCGTAGTCGAACGAGGTGCCTCTCGAGCACTTTCGCCGCTAAGAATAAAAAAGAGTATGTAGATGGCCGACAACACTAACGCAACCGCGACACAAACCCGTCGCGCCCCGCCTTTCTATTTTGATGGGGTGAAATAGCTCTACAAAAAGGGAAAAGATTCCGTCCACAAAATACAAACGAAAGGAATAGATCGATAGATGAAGCGGCAACGACGGCTCAAAAGGTGTATCTAAATTCTGGGTGCTTCGTTTTCCCCCGTGGTGGTTGAGGGGCTGGCGGGTCTTTTGTCTGCGCAGAAGAAGATAGAAGAGCGAGAAAGACGCACCTCGATAGACACCACCGCAACAAACACCTTCAGGCGGCAACAACGAAAACAAAGTTGAAGAGCGGCCAGCCAAGCAGCAAATGCCTATGTGTCGCAGAGGGACAAGAGAAGAGGAGAAGAGAGCGCCGCAATGGCCCGTCAGAGTTCACCACTGCCGCGAGAATGAGCACCCCCACCCACAGAAAAAAAGAAGATGGTGAAGGAAGAAACCGGAGAAAGAAGAATTCAGCGACACAGTCACACGATCAGCATTCCGTAGAAAAGTGCGGGAGCAAATGACATTACTGGCGTGCATAAGCTGCGACAGAGCGTACACAGTGATGTATGATCCCGCCTGGATAAAACAACAAGCAGCAACACATATCGGGTCAACGTGTGCTACAAGGCAACACGGGCAGCAACGCGAAGGACAGTAGGCATCGTTGATGAGAAACGGAGGTTTCGGAAGAACGAAAACCTTGAAGTATGATTAACGAGAGCGCCGTTCTTGATAGACAACAATTTTCGGTGTTTGCATTCGTGTTACCTATGTTAGTGGTCGGTGAGAAACGAAGTAGCACCATTCGCAAGCCGGGAAACACAACTTATGGCATGACAGCTATCGGATCTGTCTGGTTATTCGATTGTTAAAAGAAAGATAAGTGCTTTAAATTGTTAAAAGCTGATCAAAAGGCGAAGGCACGCAAACCCTTCCCAACAACACGCCGAAGCAATGTGTACGTACTGGGTTTTTTTTTTTTTTACTTGAGGTCAAAACACAACAAAGAAAGGGCTTCGGAGCAATGTTGTAGCGATGCGATGATGGCAAAGACGCTCCGTCACGAGCAAAAAGATAACGTAAAATCGCCCATAACAACGACGAGGAATTCGGCAAAAAAGCTGAAACAGAAAGGGGGTTGGGGATGATTAGAATCCACATCGAGACTCCAAGTGGAAACGCCCGCAGAAGAGCACGAGAATGCGAAAGGCCACGTCCACAGATTCGTTAAACGATGCTTTCAAGACGGCAGACAGCAGAAGCACGCCCGCCGCCACGCAAGTCGTCTAAGCGGTGGAACGCGCACTTGCCGCCTCCGTCTTTCTGCGCTTCGTCTTTGTCTTCTTCTTGCGCAGCGACAGGTCGAGCGGGAGAATCGATTGACCCTGATGCACCTCTACACGCGGCTGCACGCCTTCCTTGAAGGAGAGCGCGGACGTCCACTCCGGGCCCATAGGCTGGCGCATCGACCGAGCAAACTCTTGCGGGTTGGAGAAGGGACGAGGCACCATGTGCAGCGTCATGCGGTCCGGGACCAGCTCCACGCCATCGTGATTGATGATGACGTGCTCCAAGGCTGCGTCCGCACGGCTCTTCAGCAGGAACGACTTTTCGATCGCTCGCTGGGTGGTTTGGTGCTCCACCGCTTCCTGGTGGCGCTTGTTGAGCTCGGGGTCCTCACCGCCCCACTCACCCCAACCCGGAAGGCTCTGGTTTTTGTCCTCTGGTCGCATGATTGTCTCTACCTGCGCCTCCTTCTCCCTGATGAAGTCCTCATCAACGTCATCCTGGGCAAACGCACGGGAGATCAAGTACTCTTGGTGCAGCCGCAGATCCTCCTCGGACATGTCCACGTTTCCCTCCGTGATCGTCTGCTCCTCGCCGACATTAGCCGACCCGTCCGCGTCTGCGTCGTTGTCGTCGCGCACGCGTTTCTTCGGCAGAATCGTGATGCGGGTCGATGCGGCAGCCTTCTTCTCCTTCTGACGCATCTGCGCCTGCGGCCGAGCACCGGCGAACTCAGACTTGGGTATCACGGTTGAAGTGCTCGTCTTGGCGGAGCGCTTTGACCTGGTCGCGGCCTTTGATGATGAAGACGGGGCTTTCTCCTCATTCGCCTTCTCCGCGCCGTTGTCCTCGTCTGCGGCGGAGGATACGGAGCCGACAGAATCCACATCGGCGTCCTCGCTCGATGACGCGTCGTTTTCCTCCGCCGCGTCGTCGTGCTGCTCGAGCCGGATGCCATTTTGTTTGCGCAGCCGCACCTGCTCGACTCCCTGGCCCTTCCTGCCATCCTTGAAGGTCATACGACCTCCGCTAACGGAGCTCTTTGCCGCCCGCTGCCCCTTTTCCGCCTCTTCCTCCGCCTCCGCCTCCGCGTCGCTGCCGGCGTTCTCTTGCTTTTGGTAGGCTTTAATGTCCCGCTGGAGCGTTTCGATCTGGTCCTGGTACTCCCTCTCCTCCCTCTCGCGGGCGTTCTTCATGAACTTCATCCCGCGCAGCTCTGCACGCGCCTTCGCGATGGGGCTGGCCGTGTCCGCAGCATTGTCCTCGTCGCCGGCGGCGTCGACGCTGCTCCACAAAATGCTCCTCACGTCCTTTTCGCTAAGCGGGGCGCCGTTCGAGGCATTCACCTTCTCAATCAGCGCATCCACCGCGCGATCCTCCTCGCTCGAGGCCTCGCTTGCGTTGTCGCCGGCAACGTAGCGCTCGTAGTTGTCGTCGCCGGCGTCCTGCTCCAGCTTCTGCATGAGGTGTTGATGGGTGGCGTGTTGGTCGTCAATGGCGTCCTTCGCGTTCTCGTCGAACTGCGCAAAGCGCTTCGCGTGCTTCACCCAGGCGCTCGTGTTCTTGTGCTTCTGCGTCACGCGCTCCTCCACGCGGGCCTTCAGCATGCGCTCCGCCAGCCGCTGCCGGGCCAGTTCCGGGTGGAGCAACTCGAAGGCTTTCTGCCGGCGCTCCTTCTCCCGCTCCTTCTCTTTGCGCAGAATGCGGCGGTACGTCTTGCTCTTGATGCGGTTGAGTCGTTGGCGGCGGCTGTTCTCGTAGGCCAACATCGCCTTAAGCTTCGCCACGTACCCCGTCGTGGGCGCCTCCTCCTTACCGTCGTCGTCGTGGCTACCGCCAGGGCTGCCCACGCCGTCGTCGAACTTCACGTAGTTGCCGATGGAGTTGGGGGTGTCGGCCGCCTCGCCCACGTGACGACGGGACAGGCCGGCCTGCGAGAGCAATGCGTCCATCCTGCTACCGAGGCGGTACGCAGCGGTTCTCGCCTGGGCGGCGGGCACAGCGCGGTCGGAGCGGAACTGCGCGTCCGCCGCAGCAACGATGCCCCCGACGGAAGAGGCCACCGGTGTGCTGTTGGGCAGGTGCATGGGGAACTGAAGGTGTTTGGCGGAGTCGAGCTCCTTCAGGATGGGCTTGTAGCGCTCCATGCCTTCGTCGACGATGTTCCGCACCTCGCGGCGCGTGAGGCGGTCTTTTGTCATGTCATCCGCGTCCACTGTGAGTAAGTTGTGCGTGTTGCGCAGTGACTGCTGAATGCGGCCCTTGACGGCGTCGAGGTCGGCGTTGGCGGTGGTGTCCTTCCGACGCATGATGCGCCGCATCGCGTCGTGATAGGAGCCCGCGCCGCCGTCCTCGGTGGTGTCGGCCAAGCCAAAGACGGACTCCGGCTCCGCCGTCAGCTGCGCCGCTCGCCGTTTCTTGCTCACCTTCGTGCCCGACTCCGTCACCCGCGACGACATCTTGGCCTTCGCCTTCTTCTTCTGCTTCTTCTCTTCTTTCATGCTCATGTCGAGCATGTCGCTAAGGTCGATGTAGTCCTCGTCGTCGTTGCTGCTCTGGCCGTCTTCACGGTAATTCACCATCTCGTCGTCGTCGTCAGCCGCAGCGCGCGACTTCTTCGCTTTTCCCGCACTCTTCTTCACCTTTTTCTTCTCAGCCTGTCCCACCACGGCAAGACCGTCCTCTAGGAAGTCATCATCCTCATTCTCTGAATCAGCCGCTTTGCGCTGCGCCTTCTTGGACTTTTTCTTCGTCAGCTGAGGCGTCGGGGTTGCCTTGTTGGAGAAGAACTCGCCATAGAGGCGCTCATCCTCGCTGTTGAAGGCGAGATCGTCATCAATGTCCTCGTCCAGCTCGGCAGGGATGAGGGGGTTGTTCAGCATCAGCTTCCCCGACTGCTGATACTCCTCATCGTCACCGCCGCGCTTGGACAACTTGGCAGCTTTACCCCTGCTTTTTTTGTCGCCGTTTGCGACCCCACTGCGGCGCACCATTGGGAATTGTGTGCAGCAGTACAATACAAACAGAAAGGAGAGAGAAGATAGGAAAGTGCCACAGATGGCAGGCCCTCACTTCCTCTTGGTTGCGTGTTGAGCTGCAGAAGGGCCGCATTGAGAACGTGAACACAGAAACGCATGCGAACGGAAAGGGAGGAGGAGAAGGAGAGGGATAGAAAATCAAAACACATTAGAAACGCATGCGTGTTCTTTGCCATTCCCAGTGGACCTGCAACCCGCAGTGCTCAGCTCGGATTCAACAGACGTGTGTCCGATCGCAGAGATGAGACGGTCGCCGTCACGCCTTCTCTTATTTTTTTCCTTCCTCTTCATTCGAATGCATGGCATCATTCGAGAAGAGCGCACATGGAACCAGCACGGCATGTCGTATTTTGCTTGAAAGCAGTAATGAGTAAACTTCAACTTGTCATCTGAGCTTTCACTTGCAAAAAAAGAACACGTTTTTCTTTGAGAGCTGCCGCTCACCTTGTCGTCCGTCAAGAACTGACGCCCTCCAATTTTGGCTCTTTAATGCGAGCCAGCCCGCCATAATAGCACCGCCAAACACAAAAACAAGAAGCCGGACAAGAGTGTTTCGTATAAACATCAAGAAAAACACTCGATACATTTATTAGAGGCCAGCTGAAGTGTTCGCAATTATGTACATCAAAGACAGCGATGTCAAACGACGGACAAACAAAGCGGCTGGTAAAGAGAAAAAACCGCCGTGAAAATTACATTGTTTTGAAAGCCTGCACCTGTCGTGGTTTTCGCGGACTCGTAATACGTCCGGGGCCGTTTGGCTTGCGAACCGCAACGCGTTTCTCGTCAAAGGCCGAAAGCGCCATTCGATCGGCAGGGACGGTGAAGTCTCCTCCATCCATCATCGTGTTCGCACCTGCTGCGGCACCTTTGTGGCCCCGCCGGGTTGTCTGCGCCGCCGTCGGCGAAAATGCACCGCCCACCACCTTCACACCGGGGGAGGGCATCACCTGCACCTGGTCTTGCAACGGGGCCTCGCCGGCCGCGTCCGTCGCGCTGAAGAAGGACGCCGTCCACGCCTCCCGTTCCGCCGTCAAGGCTTTCTTCGTCTTCGCCGCTGCCGCAGCACTTTTGGCGGTGTTGCTTAGCGGCGCACGTCTGCTCCCGCCCTTGCCTCGTTGATCCCGCTCTGCCTCCGCAGCATGGGCACTGCCCTCGTTCACCACAGCCACCTCGTCCTCCTGCGCAAGTTTTGAAGCGTCGTCTTCCTCGTTGGGCACCACATGGCACCGCACCGCATCCTTGTGTTGGCCGCCGCGCGGCTGCGACTTGCCTCCGCGATCGGTGGTCCACAGCCGGTCCTGCTCTACCGCTATCACGCCAGCAGCGCGGAGGGCCTGCTTCCCCGCTACCTTCTTCAGTGTATCGTTTCCACCCATGATAGAGGGAAAGGATGACGAGGAAAGACCGACGCCGGTCACGGCCGGACGTGCCGGGGGCCGCTCCGCTTTCACGGCGCCTGGCGCACCATCTACCGTGGCAGAGAAGAGTCCCTGCCGCAGAGCTCGGGTGAGGGGGTCCTCTGGCGGCGTCTGAGCAGTTGGGCTAAAGCTGATCTTGCCGCGGCTCGAAGCCGGCTCCGGCAGCGACGACGCCTGCAGAGGCTGCAGCGACCGCCTCTGCGATCGCCGCGTGCTTCGCTTGCCGGGTGCATTCACGGTGACGGGAGGCGAGGGCGAGAGAGCCGCGGCTGCCGCAGCCGGTGTGGACCTTTCCGCACTTTTCGCCTTGCTTCGTGTGGCACGCGGACGCGGCGGCGATCCCCGCAGCGGCGAGCGCGGGCGGTCGGCGGCAGCTGTCGGCGGCGGCACCTCCTCCACAAGCAAGACGTACCGCGAAAACGCGTCCATCGGCACACTGGGCGGCGGCGTGGGACCCGTCGTGTCGTGTGTGGCGCATCGGACGGGCAGCGTGGTGCCGAGGGGTGGCGGATACAGAGAGGACTGCGGCGTGAGAATGCTGGTGAGCGTGCGTGTGGTGACGCCGGCCAGGGAGAGGGCACTGCGCATAAACACCGGTGTTGGCAGCGACTGGGCGGATGCCCCGAGCAGTTGCTCACGCTGCGGTGCGTCTTGTACCGGCACCTCAGCGTTGGCCCTCGCCGGCTCACTCGAGAGACCGTTGCCGCGCACGTCCTGGGGGAGGAACGCACTCGCCACAACATCACGAGCGTCGTCCCAGGTGGCGCACGCCGTGTACGTCTCGACCAAGTCATCTAAGCGGCGAGAAGTGTAGAGGTTTGCAGCTGCCTCAACGACCTCGCGGGCCAGCGACGCGCCAATCACCTCACCCACCGTCGTGGCCTCCGCCACAACACTCGCCGGGTATGCGGAAGGCGGCGGTAACGGGTCCGGTCCATGCTTCGCGCCGCCTGCGTCCAACGGCGATGCTCCTGATTGCACAGAGAGGCTGGTGAAAGGTGGGCTTGGTGGCAGCGAGGTCTTCGCAAGCGTGCCATAGTAAGCGTGAACCAACACATCTGCCGCGCGCAGCTCATCAAGATTGGGGAGTGCTACAGGAGGATCCGCAAACAGACTGCAAGATTGCAGGAGAACGGGCGTTGCGCTTGTCGGCCGCTGCAGCGATGCGCGCGACGTCCGGCTATCACCGCTCATGGTCTCCGACTGTGTATATTTTTCTGGTCGGTTGTTTGCTTCAGCGTATCAAACAGCGTCGACTCCGCCAGCGTTTGTAGAGCCTCGACGTAAGGTGCTGGTGTGGAGCAAGACGACATACCACCCACTCAGAAAGTAGAAGAAAGGGAGATACAAACGAGGACTGTGAAAGCAAAGAGAAGACAACGTGATCAACGCAATCACAGCATTGGCGAGACTCGGGATAGTTGGGGGAAAACATCAGAACATCACCGCGAAAAACAGGAGCTGAATGCGCTAGCAAAATCATAGTTTTCATCGAGCGGCATATGCCACATCGCTTAAAGCGACTTGTATACGCACGTGTATATTTTTGGAGGCGCTGAGACGGGCGTTGCGCTCCTTTTCTGTGATTATCATTGGGAATGGTAGCGCAAAGCACACCAGCAAAACGTGTTGTGCACAACCGCGTGGCTCACATGGGAACGCCAGACAAACTGCAACCTGGGCTACGCCTTCTCCGTCTTGGGGCACGTTGGACTCTTGCGGGGGCCCTTGCCGGTGAACTCGAGACCGCACATATTTGCCGCCTTCTTCGCCCGCTCCACCTCTGTCTGCTTCACCGCGTACGTCTGCTGCAGTTTGCGGTACTCCTCCAGACGCTCTCGCATAAAGCGGTAGTCTCTTCCGTTTAAAGCGTGGTCGGGGTCCGCCTGCAGCTTCTGCATCTTATCGCTGAACGAGAAGGTCGTCGTGGTCGACGCAGCACAACGCGCGAGACGAGACACACGAAACATCGCGACTGTGAGAAATGCACGACGGTTCGATGCGCAACTAAATCAGATTATGTAAAGGTTGAGCGAGTGGCTATAGGAATAAAAGCACGAGCAGGTGGCCGCATATTCGTCAAAGAAATAAATACGACGTCCGCCGAAGTGAAAAAGGCGGCGTGAAGGCCGGAAAAAGAGGAGGAATTGAATGTTGTGTCTCGTAGTGCTTCTTTTTTTCCATCGTGAATGCTCTCCTGCGCAGGCTGCCAATAGGCCACGCAGTGTCTTCGTATATGTGAAACAACCTAGAAAACTCACTTCACCGCCATTCTCGCCTTACGCCCGTATGCCGGGCCGTTCATCGTTCATGTGTTCAGCCTGTCTGTATGGTGGCAGTTGTTTCTCTTTCACGTCTCGCCCAATTGAGTGTTTCAAACAAGTGCTGTCGCAAAGCCGACGCATTTCGCGGCAGCAAAATCACAGCTCATTAACCAATTTACTGTTCACCTTCCGCTCTTCTTTTCTAATGGCGCTTCCGCTTACGCGCGGCCGCCATCTTGGTGGAGATCTCCGTCATCTCCTCCTCCAACTGCGCGATCTCCTCCGTCGTCACGTCGTCAGCTAGGAGGCGCTCCTCAAGCTGATCCAGGCGGGCCTGCAGCGCGTCATCGTCATCGCCGTCACCTGCGGCTGCTCCCGCACCATCGGCGGCCGCCTCAACCGCTAAAGCGCTCGCCACCACCGTCTCGGGTGGATTCAAAACGCCGGCGGCGGCGGCGGCGGCACGGCCCTCTCGCCCTCGTTTGCGCAGCTTCTTGCCGTCCATGGTCACCGCGGACGAGGTCGCCGCAGCTGCGGAGCGGAAAGGTGACGCCTCCCAGCTGGCCATCAGCTCTTTAAACTCCTTTTTATTCTCCTGTAGACACTCGCGATCCGCCTTCGTGACGCGCTGGTAGTTGATAAGCTTTAAGTGAGGACACAGAAACAGCAGGAAGGCCCGAAGCTTGGCGTCGTCGTAATTGATGCTGTTTTCCGCCCACACCGGATTCTCCTCGAGGGACAGCACTTCTAACTTCTTCCACTGCTTGAGAAAGCTCAGGTCCTGGACGGCGCTGAAGCGGTTGCGGTCGGCGACGAAGTGCCGCACGTTGGGGAGGGCAAGTACGCACGACGCCACACTGACGCGTTGAATGTCATTTCGATGCGCGATTAACGACGTCACGCGGTCCATAGTTACACTTTTGCCCCCTCCCGTGCTCTTCGTTGGGAAGTACTCCAAGGCCGTCAACGCGTTCGATGACAGATTCACCACATCAAAGCTGTTGTCCAGCAGCACCAGGACGTGCTCATCGAGAGAGGAGATGCGCAAGCCGCGCAGGTCAATCTCGCGCTGCAGCAGCGTATTTGTGAACTGCGGCGCGCGCCGCACTAGGTCGATGGAAAGACGCATCTTTTAGGCAGCGATTCGATGAAGTGTATGGAAGAGAGAAACGGCAAAAGGGAGGAGAAGGGAGAGAGAGGTACAGCACTTCAGCAACAAACTTGAACGTGAAAAAAACAACGATGACTCGGCGGCAAAAGGGAAGGAAGTGCCGTGCATTTTATTGTCCCCATCAATCGGACGACACGCATTAAAGAAGAGGGACCACAAGTATACAACTCGCGAGAGAAGTGTGGGGGAAAGGAGTGTTCAGTGTTTTTCGTTCTGTATTGGCAGCAGCTTGAAATAGTTTCTCGTTGCGTGTGTGTTGGGGTGGTGAATCTTTCTGCGAAACCAAAAGAACAGAGCCTTGCTAACTTACGTGTTCTTCGGTGCTTCGTTGCTACCGTCGCCTGCATGGTTATGGTTGATGTGGCGATAACCCTTCAGCTGGCCGTGCGCGTCGTAGAAGGGCTCGAGCGTGTACTCAAGCATGTCTTGCTTATGAGGGGTGAGGCCCTGTGTGAACTGCTCAGCGGGGACTAGGTAAGGGATGAAGTACGCAATGGCAAACGTGATGAGCAAAAGAGGGCCCGTCACCACAAACTCACGAACACCCATTGGAATTTTTGTGCTGTAGAAGCGCGAGAACTTCACCAGATAAGGATTCTTTTTCGGTGCCTCCGTGTAGTTGGCCACACTGCGCCGCGGTTTCGCCGTTGCCGCCTCTTCCGATGGCGGTGCAGACATGATGAATTTTCGAGGAGAAAAAGACAGACAAAGCAAAAGTTGTCGTCAGCAGATCCTACCAAGTTTCGTGCGGTCTTCCTTGCCTGTCCGTTCTGGACGTTGCGTGATTCTGACAAGGAAGTGAGTGGATGTTCTGTGCACTCTACGACGTGGAGGACGCGAGTATTGCGGCAAGAAGAGAGAGAGAGAATGCGGCCCGGAAACACATAGAAGCGAAGTGCAGAAATGTCAGAGAGGGCGGAGATTGAAGGAGTAAGAAGGCGAATCATCGCTAACAGTGTCCACGTACGGAACTCGACGAGCGTGTTTTGTCGTTCTTGTTGCATTAACGTGTCTTTTCTTGTTTGCCTTTCGCCTTGCGCCTTTTCGAAGGCAGCACATCAGCCAGGCTGCTACTACATGTTCCCACCCGCTCCATAAAAGAATGAAAGAACACTCTCTCAAGATCTCAGCTCACGCCAAAGAAGCATCGCCTTCCACGTTGCCCTGCGAAGCATGAAAGCACATCTTTCGCAACTTTGTGTTTCCTTTTCCTTTTTAGTGCTCTTCGACACGAAGCTTCAGTTAATGAGTTATCGCGACAACCATCATCGCAAATTAAAGGCTTACAGCTGATTAATCGAGTCCGTTAGGTCAGTGTTCGCAAAGAGAAAGAATGCTGTTGCGTTTCTTTCCCTTTCGATGAATAAGCACTTCCATCATCGGTGCCAAAGCGCCTCCAAAGCAGCACCGCTGCCCGCGACGCACGTGAGAAAACCGGACTTGTGCCTCAATGGAGGATAAACTCCGTTGTACTGCAGACGTTGCCGGGCGTGATGACCGGGGGCAAACCTTGGCTGCCTGACTCGTTGGGCAGTGCACGCACAAGCTGCACGCTGAGCTGAACCTCCCTCTCCGACGCTTCGTTCCACTTGGCCTGCGCAGTCACCGCAATCACAAATGAGACCGCGGAGCCGCTGCCATCTACGGCAGGCGCCGCCGTCAGCGTCAGACCTGTCGCGTACACCGGCCGCACCTCCACCATCTCGCCACCGCCGCTGACCGCCGCTGCTTCCCTAGCGTCCGTGAAAAGGTACAGCACCACCTTCGCCTCAGAAGATGCGGGCGACCACGGGATGCACACACGGGCCGGTAGGGGCAACGAGCGAGACAGCAGCACCTGCAGCGATGAACGCGCCAACGTCTGCGTCGCGGCGGTGGTGAGGTCCGTGGCGTCGCCGGTGTAGACGTAAACATTATTGGTCAGAAAGAGTCCGCTGTGGGGAGCGTCGCCCGCCTGCGCCTTCTGCGAGCCGGCATCGCTACCGTCGTCGTCGTCGTCGTCGTCGTCATCCTTTGTCAGCGCATCCCACACACACGAGGCCACCTCCGCCGCCTGCGCGACGATCGACGCACGCAGCTTGCCGGCGCCTTTGCGCACCTGACGGCCCTTTGCGAGACGCAGTGCTACAAAGGCTTCAGCAACGCGGTAGCTCAGGTGGCAGCCGCCTACGCAAAACAGCTCGTCCGCGCACACGCCGTTGCCCATGACGGAAGAGTCCAGCACACGGACGTTGGGGCTGAAGAGGGAGCGCTGATCGGCAGAGGTGATGGAGACGGTCAGCAACTTCGTGAGAGACGACATCTGGCACATGCCACCGGCAAGGAGAACGGCGTCCACGAAGCCCTCTGTCCACGTCTCCTGGTACTTCTCGGCAAAGGCGCGGACAGCCCTGACGAACATGTCGACCAATCCCCACTCGCTGCGAATCGCGTTGTCCAGCTTATTTTTGCTGAGCGTTTGATTGTCCATCAGGTCCATGCCCTCGTAGAAGGCTTCCACCTCCACAGACACCGAAGACGCCTGCGGGTTCGTGTTGAGTGAGACCTTCTTCTCCGCCATCAGGAGGGCCAGGCGGCGCATCGCACGTGCGGGGATGGCCTCCTGAATGAGCTGCGTGGCCGGGTGCTCCGCAGAGCCCATAGACGGCAGACTCTGATTCAGCCGCATGAGGGCGTTGAAGTTGCGCACCGTACTGGCAAACTGACGGCGCTGCTGTGTGATGTACTGCGCCGCCACGCGCTCTGCCAGTGCTAGGTCGAGGGCGTCTCCACCACTGTAGCCGCCCACGCCGAAGTAGCCGTCGCTGCCCGCCCCACTGCCTTTTGTGAAGCAGCGGTACGGCACGTTGTGCTGCTTCGGCGGGCACACAAGGACACCCCCACGCGAGCACAGCAGCGAGAGACCGAGACTGTGCGCCCCCCAGTCTACCACGAGCATGTTATGCGTGGCGGTGCCGAGGAAGCGAGGAATGCGCCGCTCAACGGCAGCCCCGTCGTAGGCTAGGACGGCGGCCTCATCACTGAACACGACAGAGGTGTTCGTGACAACGGCGCCGAGATGAGAGGCCTGCACCGCCTCCTTCAGCCACTCCACCGTGCTGCTGCGGTGGCCGTTGTGGGTGCTGTCCGCCGCCTCCGGGAAAGCGTAGCGCGGGACGACCAACGAGAGAAAAATCTTAGTGGAGTTAGGGGCAGAGTCGCTCGGAGAGCCGCCGCCACTAGTGGCCAACCCGCACGCGCCGTCAATAGAGTGCTCCTTCACGTAGTTCAAAAACTGTATGAAGAGGTCTTCGGCCGAAATGAAGCTCTCTACCGGTTCGCCGTTGAGCTCCGCCGTGTACTCGAAGCCCAGTCGCCGCGCGCCGGCGGTGGAGATGGTCATGTGGCAGTGGCCCTTGTACTTCTGCCTCACCGCCGCCTCTACCACCTGCAGAAGGTCAGATGTCAGTTCCATCTCGGACTCCGCCGCGGCGGCATCCTCGGCAGCGCCTGTGGTGTGGAGTGCATCGGCGATAGAGGCGGCAGCGGCGGCGAAGCTGAAGAGGTAGGGCACCACCTTCTGCGGCTGGCGGGCGTACTGGTGCAGAGCGTTGTCCGCGAAGAGCACCTCCTGCTCCATCAGACTTGCCACGACTGGCGTGTTGCGGTGGCCGCTGGAGTTGGCAATGACTTTGATCGGCGGCACATCGTTCGGAGAGGGGGTGCCGGTGGTGCTGTTAACGGGCGTCACGGCGACGTAGCTGCTCGACGCGCCGAGGGAGATGCTGACGGCGTACATGACGATTCACAATGCTGCTCGAGTTCTGTATTGCAAGAAAGACGACCCGTTTGGTGTCGAGCACGCTCCTTCTCGCGAGTAACACTTCGTTGCTTTCTGCGTTGACTGCAGGACTGCCACGCCATCGGAGAAAATAATAGGCGTGCAGGAAGAGAAAGAGGAGAAGAGGAAATGAGGTTCGATCGCACGTGCACAGCCGCCTCGCCTTCCGACTGTCGCCTGCAGCAGGTCGGGGTGGGGGATCCGTGTCCGCATCGCGTGTCAGCTGTCGTCACGGAGAGAGAGAAAAGTACCTATGTGAAGGAGCTTCGTAGCACGTGCGCATTACGTGGGCATCGCGCAGTTCAACTGCGTCAACGTTCCCCACGGCGGCTGTTGTGTATTAACTCTATAATAGAGAAAGAAGCTTCACCAACGAAGCGCTCGTGAAACGGAAGAACACCACATACAGTGGGGGTTCATTAAGACAAACTAATGGGGGTTTTTTTTTTGATGATCGCTTTGCGTTTGCACTAGTAGCGTGCACCATCCCGTACTACAGTTACATTGTGGAATCAGAAGAGAGGAGAGGGACACGCCGTAGATGCGAACGTGGGCACCGGCGTAGAACTCACGCAGCGTCTAGGCTCTCGAGCTCCTTCGTGATGTTGTCTAAAAAGACCGTGATTTCGTCCACCTCGCGCGTCGTGACCAGCGCAGGGTGCTGCGGCAGAGGCGGCGGGGTGGGCGTCGCCGCTTTCGTCGTGCTGACGGACGTAGACACGATCTCAGGATCAGTATGCGGGTGCGATGTCGCTGGCGCGGCTGACGGTGCAGCATCGATGGCCGCCTCCAGTTGCGGCTGCGTCTGCTCCTTCACGGTGAGCGGCTTGCTGGAGCGGATGGACTCTAACGTGCGACGAACGTCGCCCAGGTCGAGTTCCTCCATGGCCGCAACATCGTCGCTCTGCGTGGGCGAGGGAGGCTCGTAGCGGAGGTTCTCCTTATACTCCTGCAGGGCTCGTTGCGTCTGCTGGTGCTGGGCGAGTTGCTGGCGCAGGAGATGGCGCGGGGTGGGCAGGCGGTGCGAGGAGCCGCGTTCGGTGCTGCGCGTCGGAGTGGGAGAGGAGGCGCCGGCGTACCCGCGATCGATTGCGGCAATTAAATCGTAGAGCTGGTCCTCCTGCTTTTTCAATCGCCTCTCGAGGGTGCCGACCACCTTGGCGTGCTGCTCCGTCAGCGACTGCGTCTGCTCCTCCACTCGCAGCCGTTGTCGCTTTTCGGCCAGCAAGACCCGCCTCAGCTGCTCCGCCTCCGTCAGCCCGGCGGCGCCATCGCTTTCCCGCGTCCATGCCTTGTCGAGCGCATCGAGAGCTTCGATCTCCTCCTTGAGGCCGCCACGTACGTCGTGTGCGGCGGCGCTTTTGGTGCCTTCACTGCGCGCCTGCGCCCGCTGCAGCGCCTCTCGCAGCTGCCGGACCTCGTCCTTCAGGGTGGTGTTGGTGGCCTCCAAGGTTTGTATTTTGTCCACGAAGTGTGCCTCGACGCGGTGTACGATGCGCTCGATTTCTTGGGTTTTGAGGCCGGCCTCCAGCTGACGCGCAGAGGAGCTGAGCGCTGGGGTTGGCGAAAGGGCTTCCTGCCCCAGCAGTGCCGCGATGCTGTTGCTGAGATCCACCAGCTCTGCCAGCATGTGGTGGACAGAGGTGCCCGCCACACTGCTGTGAGTGCTGTTGCCGAGCGCGCCACGCTGCCATCGCTCCGATGTGGGCGTGACGGAGGTGACACGCGGACCACCTGAAGGCGGCGGGTGCGAACGGTCATGCGACGTGTGGGCCTCCCCACGCAAGAAACGCTCCGGCCCGACCCCCGGGCTTCGCCATCGACGTGCGGAGGGGGTGGAGAAGCCGTTCGACGGTGCATGGGCGCCCCGCTGCGTGGATCGGTCCCCGGTGGGGGTGGAAAAGCGCTTGCCTTTCATTCAACGCTGTCGTCGATGCAAAAAAAAAAAAGTAGAAGACGAACGAAGACACGCTCGTGGATCAGGAAACAAGTTTGAAAATGAATAAACAACGACCGAGTGAGAGCGAAGTTTTATTCCGTCAGGTGCGTAAAGGACGTTAGCTACACCGGCGACGTAATCAACAAGGGCGGGGATAACGAGTGCAGACCAGAAGAGCCCAAGCAGCCCCTCCGCAACACAAAACAGACGCTCTTTGCTTCTTCTTCTTTTGCTTTGGGCGTGAATGCCGAGGGCGGAGATATCGGAGGGAGAAAATAAAGGGCCAAGTCAAATACGCGGGAGTGAAACAGCGCGAGGGCTACCTCGGGAACGACAAGCTTCATGCACTGCAGAAATGCTGCGGTCTGTGAACCGACTATTTTTGTTTTTCAAAAGCGTTGAGTTGTTCACAACGTGCGGGAGTTGGAAACGATCCAGTTCAGACAAAAGAAAAAGCGATCACACGGCACTGGCATGAGTGAGCAAACACGAACCCCTTTCGTGAGAAGCTGAAATGATCGTTCTTTGGGTTTTCTATGCAACGAACTCGTTCATCTCCTCTCATCAATGCGAAGTTAAACAAACAGCACACAGGGTGCGCACGCCTAATTCTGTTTTCCTTCCCTTGTAGAAGAAGAAAGAAGACGTAAAATAACACTCGACAGAAACACTTAACAGGGGTTTAGGTGGGCATGCTCAGCATCCGCAGAAGTGAAGAGTCACGAGTCACTTTCACTCGCTCTTCTTCTCGTGCTTGTGCTTCTCGTGCCTGTGCTTCCGGTGCTTCTTGTCCTTCTTATGCTTCTTGTCCTTTTTGTGCTTCTTGTGCCTCTTCTCTCGCTTATCGCTCTTATCGCTCTTCTCCTTCTCCGCGCGGTGGCGCTTGCGAGAGCCGCCATCGGAATCCTCGTCCTCGTCGTCGTCATCGTCATCGTCGTCGTCGTCATCGTCATCGTCCTCATCATCTGAGCTGCCTTTTTCTTCCTCCGCCTCCTCGTCATCATCGACGTCCTCCGCCTCCATACCGGTGCGGACCAGCTTCACCCGAGTCGAGAGGTACGCCAGCAACCCCGCCTTCTCCTCCTTCGCAATCGAGGAAAAGACGTACTTATCCTGGCCCTTGGCACCGCTCGCGTAGACCGTCAGCTGGAAGGTGGCCTGGCCGCTCTCCGACTCGTCCATCTCAACACGCAGAACATCGGCAAAGGCGATGCGCGTGGCGGGGCGGTGTAGGAAGAGGAAGCCGCTGTTCACGATGTACAGCAGGCCTTCCGCAGCGTGAAAGAGGCACCGCATCGACGACTGCGCGCGGCCCGTGAGCACCGACTTGTACTCCTTGTTCACACCTCCGTAGGCGGGTACCTTCGCGATGGCTTTGAAGGTGCGTGTGAGAATGTCGCTGACACGCCCGCTCATCGTCGGCACCAACGCTGGCTCCTCTCCCTCCTTGGCGGCCGGCAGCTGAAGCACCTTGTTAATCTCCTCCTGCGTCTTCAGCTCACACCTCCACGGATGCTCGTCATCCAGCGCCAGACCGGCAGGGCATGAAATGACGACGTGATTGTACGTCGCCGTGCGGATCCGCAGCGGGTTCTTCAAGATGAGAACGACGTACTGCGGCGCGTTGCTGAAGTCCGCCGCGTCAGAGGCAGAGAAGTACACCGGGACGTCGCACAAGAAGATGTTCTGCATGTCCGACAACGGAAACGACACAAGCCCGCTCGAGGTCCCTTTCTTCTTGTCCTCCAGCACCACGTTGTAGTTCGAGATGACCATCTTATACTTGCCTGTCGGGTACGACAAAAGCACATCGTCGAACGTCGCCACGACCTTCTCATCCGCGTGCTTTTCCTGTCCACTGCCCATCGCAGCGAGAGCCAGCAACTTGCCGTCTTGCGTGCCACTGCCGTGGGTTTGCAGGAACTGTTCCTGGTACTGCATCATGCTCTTCTGAATGTCCTGCAGAATGACCTTGCCGGCCTCCTCGGTCTGGTCGTAGCCCACGCACACGTTGGGCACAGCGAAGCGGATGGACGTCAGCTCCAAGTCACCCGTTGCCCCGGCAGCAGAAGCCGCAGCGGTGGTGGGTCGCATCGTGAGACTCACGTCGTTCTTCGTCGTGCCCGATGCACTGGCAACGGCGGAGACAGGAATGCTCAGAATCGGCTGTGGCACGTATGTGGCGCTGTCCTTCGCCTTGCCCTTCGGCAACGCTAGCAGTTCCAAGACGGCGTCGCCCTTCTTAGAGTCTGCGCCGTCTTCCGACTTCACCTCCGACTTGGCAGCCGACAGCTTCAGCTGCCCCCAGTTCTCCAGCGGGATGGACATGGCGCGCAGAGTGGCGAAGAGCACAACGAAATGCGTTCAGAAACACACAGAAAATCAGAGTAGGTGCTCAAGATTATGGGTGGGTAGAAGAAAACAAGCTGTCTCAACGGCCTGCTCTTCGCACGGCAATAATTGACGATCCACACGTTTCTATGGAGGATACTTGTCAGGACTTACACGGATGTAAGGCTCTCAATTCAGCTCCCGCCGGTGTGCAGCGGACGGAAGCAAACAAAAAGAAAACGTAGCGGTGGTAAACGCTCAAGTGTTTCTTTTTCCCTGCAGAACAACCGAGACACAAGGTCGGTTGCCAGTCCTCTCTCTCTTGCTTCTTGCGTGCTTTCTTCCTCTTAAGAATTCCTCTTCTATGTAGAACAAGGGAGCACGGGCCAACGTGGCGTAGTGAAACGCAGCAAGTAAAAACGATAGAAAGGTAAAGGCGAGGAGATGTACACGAGCACTCACGTAGATAATGGAAGGACTACGCATGGTAAATGGTTGGGGTGGATAGCGCGAAGGTGCGAGGAGAATTCAAGTAATGAGGGACGCCAACTGCTTTCTCACGATGCCGCCGCCTTTAAGCGCGTTGAGCACGACCGAGGCTGATCCAGACAAAGCGAGAAAAACAAAAGGATGACGATTTTCTAGAGCCGAATTTGTGTGGGAGCGTTGTTGGTTGTTTGTTGTTGTAGATGAATATTTGCTGGCGCAGGCGGCAGCGGAGGAACACGAGTACAGCGAAAACAAACCAGGGACAGCACGGCGAGCAGAAACGCGGTTGCACACGCGGCTTGACATGTATAAAAACGCCCGGAGCATGGAAAAGAAAAGAAGGAACGCCCACCGTCATCGGAGTAGCAGGGAGATAAGAAATAAAAAAAGAACACTCAAGACCAACCAACAGGGCAACTTTGGTGTGCTGCAGAAGCAGCGCCACGCACGTCTCTTTCTCACTCTCTTACTGCATGCAGTGCAACACAGCCAGGACGACAGCAAACAGAATCAATACTGTTGCCGCCGCCATCGTCTTACGAGTGGACAACATGCTCGTCTGCAGCAGCGGCGGAGGCTGCAGGACGAGATACAACAGCGAGCTAGAGACGTCGTGCGTGGTGCCGGGAGCCAGCCCTGTGACCTGAGCCGTGGCCAGCTGCACCTCTGGATCTTGTGTGCCCCACGTCTGCAGCACAGACACGTACACGCTCTCGCCACTGTGAGAGCTGGAGTAGGGCGGGAAAAGCTTCCGCAGAAAGCTGCCTACACGCTGAGCTACGTTCGGAGTCACGTAGCGCACGTAATGCTCGTTCACGACGGCCAGAAGGCCGAAGAGGCGCCGCCGCACCTCAGCCGCGTCCGCCACCACGCTGCGGTCCTCCACGTCCAGGCGATACGACCGTGCAGCTCGGGACGTCCGCGGCTTGAGCGCAGGGTCGAAGGCGAGTCGGAAGGCCTCCAAGTCCGTCATCCAACGCAGTTTCACCTCCTTCCACAAGACACTGCTCTCAGCCAGCGGAGTCGACGCGGTGCTCGCAGGCCCGGGAGCAGGCGTCGTGGGAGGAGTGCCGGGTACAGCCGAGGTTTCCTTCACCTCGGCAGCAGAGGGGGAAGAAGCGGAAGAGGATGATGTGTTGAGCTTCGGGACCGGCAGAACCTTCGTGGCATTTGGCGGTGGCACTTTTGTTAATGGGCCGCTGAAGTCGTGGAGGTCCACGTCGCCGCCGTCGACGTCTGCCGCGTCAGCACCCTCCTCATTCTCCACCGCATTGCCCTCGCCCCTCTCGATGCCGTCTTCCGCCTCCCGTGCCGTCCCCTCGTTTACGGTGGTTGATGCGTCCGCCGCCTCGTGTAGCGTTGGAATCGTCTCAAAGCAGAGAAGACCACGAAAGAGCGGCAAATTCCGCCAACGCAGCGCCTTCGGCTGGGTGCTCGGGTCCGTCAAACCACGCTCAGCTTCCTCCCCCGCCGCGCGACCAGCGCCGAAGGAGCTGCGGATATCGGCCTGCTCCTCCGGCGTGAAAAACGTGAGAACGTGCTCTCGCCACGCCGACTCGTGGGTGCGCCAAAACCGCAGTTCCTCCACGGAATTCCGTAGAAACGCGGCTGCCTCGGGGACGGCGGGATTGCCCCGCAGCGGCTGGGTGCTTGGGGCAAGGACCATGTCGCTGAGAATCGTCCACAGCAAGGTTGCGTTGTCGGTGCGTCGGCGGTTGCGTGTGCGGAGCAGCGTGACCTCTTCGTGGCGGTACTCCGCGAGGGCCTCCACCACCTGCAGTGCGGCAGCGCGGCGGTGCGCTTGGTTGGACACGAGCGGTTCGTCGTGCACGAGGCTCGCCACGAAGCGACGCAGCATCGCCATGCGTGCCATCGCGTCGCCAGAAAAGGCCTTTTTCTCGGCGGACTTCAGCCCGTTCGTGATGGTGCGCAGCGCCTGCGGTGGCTGCAGCCAGTACGAGCCCCGCTCCTCGCCGGAAACGAGCTGGCGGTAGGGGCCGGCGAGGAAGACGCTCGCGAAGGCAACGAAGACGCGCTCCGTGAGATCCACCGTGTCGAGCAGGTCCTTTGTGAGCCGTAAGCATTGGCGGCGGTCCTCGTCCTCCGCCGCAGCCACCCACTCCGTCAGGTGAAATGTATCGCCGAGTTCCTCGCTGTAGATCACCCAGAGCTCATCCGACGACGTCCCTTTATCAGACGAGGGGGGCACAGAAGACGAAGACGGTTGCAAGGGGGGCGAGTCTGCGCGTGCGGCGCTAAGGAGGCGCGCCACAAAGGCCCAGGCCGCCCTGCCGCGGCGCACCCACCGCTGAATGTCAGACTGAAGTCGCGACAAGGACGTTTTCCTCTTCCTTTGTATCGCTGATGCTGCCGCCTTCGTCTGCGATGCCGTCTTCTTGCACGAGGTCCCATCAGCGCACACGTCGTCCTTGCGCATCGCAGAGCCGCCTGCTGCCGCGGTGGCAGAGGAGGAGGTGGAGGCGGCCGCCCCTCTGTGTGTAGCCGCAACGCGCACCCCAGTCGCAGCCCTCTTGGGAGTGCTGAACTCAGACGACATCGTCGGCGGCGGCGGAGGGGCGGTGACGCCGCTCTGCTGTTCACGTGCCACACGCGCCGCCCGTTGCCCGCGCAACGTGGTCAGCGTCGCCTGAATGGCCACATAGCGCTCCATCAGCTCCACCGACGTCTCTTCCAGGTGCTGGGTGTAGGTGTGGCTCAGTTGCGCAAGTCGCTTGCGGCCCTTGTTGTAGCGCCATAAGCTCTCTTGGTTGTCGTACGTCTCCAATTCTGCGGTGACCCCGGCAAGAGCATCGATGTCGCGCAGCAGCTTCTCCGCAGACTGCGTGGCGTGACGTCCGTCATTGACAGCTGCCGTGCGAGCGAAGTAACGGCCGAGCAGAAAAAGCATGACCAGCACGAGGAGCACCGCCACATGTCGGTATCCTCTGAGAAACACCACAGCAAACCGGCTGCGCTGTTCTGCTGTGGCCGCTGTAGGCGGTACGGCGGCGGTGAGGAGTTTGGCGGGAATCTTAGGTCGCGAGGCAGAGGTGGTGGCGCGACGCCCGCCCACGGGTGCCGGCGTTAAGACTCGTGACGGCTCCGAGTCTGATCGCCGCGGCACAAGCGTGCGAGACAAGTTGAGGCTGTCTTCCTTCAGCGCATCGGTATCCGAAGAGCTGACATCGTCCTTTTCTGTCGCTTTCTCCGGCCGTTTCGTTGTGGCCAACGAGTCCTTATCCGTCTCTTCACGGCCCTCCTTCTCCCTGGCCTTTTCAGCGGCGCGGTATTTCTCGAGGTAGTGCTTCACCATTTCCTCCGCACCAAGCAAGTCTTGAAAGCCGTAAAAGAAGTACTTTCTTGACGCTGATCCGCGCTTCCTCAGGCTCGAGCTTTGTGTGGCCTGCATCCGGATCGCCTCGTTGTGCTGAAGCACAACAACGAGAACGCTCGTGGGGACTCCCTTGACCTGCTGCGTTTCCAGCCGCACGCGCTTCACGTTGCTCCACTCGAGGTCGATGCGGAAGAGGGATGACGTGAAGTAAAACTCCTTCTCAGTCACCACCAAGTTGCCACGGTAGTTTTTGTACTGGCATGAAAAGGTGGACATGATTGCCGAATCAACACAGGTAGACCTGCAGAGCTCAAAGACACCAATAAAAGACCTGTGTTTCAACGCAGTAGTGCGTTACGTAGAGCCTCCAACGAGCCCCTCTGTCTGTTCCCCACAATGACGAAGCGAGACAGCAGTGAAAATGAAGCGTCACCGATTCTTTAAATGAATAATCATTGATACAACGCAGCAAAAGAATAAAAATGAGAGAGAAATAACAGCGTACGTAAAAGTCTTAAGACGCAGCACTTGAACGTTGATAATAGTTTTGTATGTTTTGCTAAAGAAGAAAAAATAATATGTCCAGTGGAAGGAGAAGTACAAGAAAGCTACGGAGTTTATCTGTTCCGTAGCTTTGCGCCGTGGTGTACAGTCGAGGTGAGGCCAATGGAGCCGCACGCAATTCTATTCACTTTCCGGTAAAAATGGAAAAGTTGTGTTGGCCGTTGATTTGAATGTGGGAATGAAAAATGGAACAGAAAAGTTCGGTATATTTCGAGTTGTGGTTGTTGTTTGAGAGAGAGATTGAGAGAGAAGGAAAAAAAAGAAGTCGATAGGAGAGTGGAGAAATGAGGACGACGACTAACGAAATCAGAGAGACCGTAGTGAGTCTAGGCAGTCATCCCGTTCCTGTTACTGCACAAAGGATGCTTTTTATTATTATTGCGGCACGCTCACCTCAAGGAATACTCAGAGAGAGAGAGAGGCACAGCTGAGCAAGTTGCGTAGTGGAAGAGGTCAATCACTTCTGGAATAGTCCATCCTTCTTTGCGTAATCAACCACAATAAAGCCATATCGATTCTGCCAAGGCAATCATTTTCCCTCCGACGGAAGAGGGAGAGGAAGCCAGGTATGCTTGATGTGTTTCGTGTTGATTTGCTAACAGAAATCAGAAACTCCTACCAAGGAAACCGACAACAAAACGAAGAAGTGAAAGATCCAAAGGCGGGAAAGGAAAATGGAAAGAGACTCTAATGGCAACTCAAAAGTCCGCCGCCACGGTGAAACACTAAGAAGAGATGAGGTACTGCAATTGCAGCAGTTGTCACCCAGTTAACCTTTACTTCAGCTGTAGACCCGTCGCTTGTTGCCAAAAAAATAAATATCTCGAAGTCCATCACAGTGCCACTTTTTTCTTCGTATTGACACGCTGGTGTTGCTTCCTTTTCCTTGCTTTGTGTGTGCATGTGTGTGTGTGGATCCTCGCACCGGAACGGCATCGATTGGACTCGGCTTCTCACGTCCACTTCCGACTCGTGCACACACGCACAAACAGGTACACCACGCACGCCCTTTGCTTTCTGACTCTATACAGCGTTTATGGTCCCTTCCTTCTTTCAAATATCCATTCTGCTCTGTCTAAAAAACTCTTTTTAGTAAAATCGAGAACATCGTAAATACATGGAAACTTCTTTGTTTTAATACAAGAAAAATAACACTAAAACGATATATATATATATATATATATATATATATATATATA